CAGAAGTCAAGAAAGAGCTGCCCATCAGCAGCTGGAAGCAGGGCTGTGCTGGAGAGAAAAAGCACAGAGGCTTCCTTTTTCCCTTGAGACAGAATTGGGGCTTTTTGCAAGCACGGAAGGTGTGTCCTCCAACTCAATTTCCATTGACTCCCAGGCTAGCTAGCAAAGGGCGCAAGGCTCTCCTCTCAGAGAGCTAGGCAGAGTTCCGACTAGCGAGCTAAGCAGCTCTCAGGACCCTATGGCCGGCTGTGGGTGCTCTCGGTACCGCCAAGTCGGAAACAAGCACCGTCTGACACAGCTGTCCCTGAAGAAGGGACCCCATTTGCTCCTCAGAATGAGAAGTCCCCTTTCAGACTTGACCAGAAGAGCATCCTCCCTCCTCTGTGAGATCGCGGGAGGGAGCGGAAGAGTGAAGTCCCCCACTCTAAACCGTTTTCCCTGTGGTAAGCGATGATTCTTCCTGACCACGAAGCTGGACATAGTTTGTAAAATGTCCAACGCAGCTAAAAATACCTCTGTCTGCAAAGAAAAAAATGTTCGTTTTTTTCATCTTGTGTTGCAAGAAGTTGCTTTTTTTCCCCTAAGCCATTAACTACATATGCCTGACGCCAGATGTGAAAACCCGGGACTTTGATCCCCATAGAATTAGCTCTGTGCAGCATACTTTTAATCGGAATAACGTAAAATTTTGAAAAATGGAGATAAGCGTTTTAGCTGTGCCTGGAAACGTTGAAAAAGAAACATTGGTCTTTTCATGTATTTCCAATAAACCCTAAACACAGTATCTGAAGGGAATTCTATACGATATAATTAGAGCATTGGGTTGCCCGGTATAGCCACTCCCACTCCTCAGACACCACCCCCCTCCCAAAGCAAAAGCAGTTAAGAGCTAGCCCCACACAATGGAGTTGTCTGACTAATACTTGGTTTGCAGTCCTGCGATCCAAAACCAGCTGTACTAAGCGATGTTATTAAAAATAGGACACTAACTCTCTCGGAGGGTTGCAGTTCAACTCTTCATTGACAGCCCTTGATGTCTTTTAGGGCAACAGGTTCTGCTGAGATTAGTGGGACCCCATGGGGATGAGAGGAAGGAGAAGGTGGAAATGCTCTCACAAGGAATCTAGATGCTAATGTTTCAAGTTTAGGGTTTGTGCATCTTAGGAACGTGAGTGAGTCACGGATAAATTAAGAAATATGGGTTAGAACAAGTCAGGAGGCAAACCCAACAAGAAAAAACAAAACAAGAAAACAACAAAAGACTCAGAGTATTTTGAAGACCTTGTCAATTTAATGGAGACCAAACTTAGGTGGAGAAAACTACCATTTCACCTATTCTTCTCAAGTCTGAGTTTTAAAAGCAAATTGTGTGTGTGTGTGTGTGTGTGTGTATGTGCGCGCGCGCGCGTATGCTCTTTCTGTATATTTTAAGACTGTATGCCTTTAGAAGGAAGAGGCCAAAACTGTACTACTTAAACAAGATGATAGGAAATATTTAATTTAAAGATTGTTTCAAAGGTTCAGTAGTTTCAGTGTAAACAATAACTAGAATGAGAGAAAGCACATAGGATAAAGAGTGGAGAAAATAAAAAATTAGAATTTCAGAACTTAAAAGTGGACTGGACATGGGCTCTAAGTTACCCTGGTTTTCATTTGAGAATTGGGTACCGATCACTGGCTCTCATTCAAATCAATGATAACTGGATTCTTTTTTTCTGATTCTGATTCTGAGGCTAGATGGGTCTCGCTCAATTCTGGTCATGTAGGCACAAGAGGTTCTAAAGCAGAGCTTCTGTGAGGCATTGAGCAGGCTTATGATCTGTGGAGAGTCACCAGGGTTAGCCATCCAATATGCAGCTTATCTGGCACTGGTGTGCTGCACTGTGCTCTTGCATGCATTGGAGGAGCCTGAGCTTTTCTAGGAGTGAGAGGAATTTTTGCAGTCCCATCCAACATAGAAAAAGATACTGCCCATTTGCTGACTTCAATTCTTTACAACAGAAAGGTTGCCTGTCTCTCAAAAACGGTAAATTAGGCACCTAGAGTTCCTACTTCAAGAAAGATTATTCTTAAGGAAAGAACACAAACACCAATGGCCATTTTTCACAGGCATGCTCAGACATCAAGAAAGCTTAATAAACCCCTATTTAGTATGCATTTATGCAGTGATTACATGAACTTTGACCTCTGAAGAGCTGTAGCAATTAGGTTCAGTGTCCCGGGTCTTCTACACACCATTCCCCATAGGCTTCCTTCCTTCTCTCTGTAGTTTATGCTCTAGGAGGGTATAAATTATTAAAGCTTGATTTCCGGCCCAAGTTTTCTTCTACACAGGTCAGTTTTGCCTTCCACTCCTGTCTGAACAGCCACCTCAGATATTGGGGCTCCCATTGTCTATATTCCTCAAAAGCAATGCATCTTGTCCCACACTTTCACAATGACGGCATCTGAAATAAGTCACAACTCTCCCGTCAGAATAATCTAGCATTTTAAAAAGTGTTCAGTGTCACTTATTTTATCTGCAACCTGAGTGGGATGGCAGAAAAACCAGAGGAAGCGCAGTGGGAGGGCTTCTGGAAGCTCCTCTCCTTCCCCCAAAAGAGAGCTAAAAGGGAAGAGGAAAGTGTTTTAAGTTTCTAGTAAACAGTGTTTAGCAAACGAATAGTAGGAAGGCTGCCCCTTTCCCAAGGAGGGATGGAACTATAATTGTTGTCTTTAGCTAAGAGCTCAGATAAACTGCTGGGACTCATTCTAAAGTGACCCATCACTGCATTCATCTCTTCTTGAACTTTCGGTGAACCTGAGATTAAACAGGGGTGAGCAGCTAAGCAGTTTGTTGTTAGCAGCCTTTTCAACAACCCTTTCAGACTGAGTAAATATTGATCGGTTTGAATCTGATTGCCCCAGAGGAAAACACCGCTGCATCTGAATAGCCTCCAAAAGTAAACTCTCTCAAAGGTGAAGCCAAAGCAGACCTCACAGTCCCAGAGACCAAACTCAGGCTAGTTTGAGGACACCCCCAGTTTAGTCAGCACTTTGGATGAAGATAGAGGATTGGGGTGAAGGGGGGATGTTTGAGAACTCATTCTGTATTGTAATTATCCGGGTTCCCTGACAAAGACCTTTGTTTCATTTCTAAAATGTATGAACGAAATGTTATTTTCTGTTGTCCCTATTTAGGTTGTTTCTGTTACAATTCCTGTCATTTTTCAAGGCGTTAGCTTTGCCCCTCTGAGACCAGGACAGAAAGAGAGAGAGAGAGAGAGAGAGAGAGAGAGAGAGAGAGAGAGAGAGAGAGAGAGAGAGAGACCTTGAAATAGGATGTGTTAAGCGCCTTTGATTTAATCGATTGGGACAGCTAAAAAGATACAAATGTTTTCCTTGTTGAAAGGTATATTAATGTCTCCTAAATGCATTGCTTGTTAGCTGATTTATTCTACCACCTAGGAAAGGCTAGGGATATTTAGCCGTAATTTATCGTTCTCTTCCCTCTCGGCTACATTAAAATCAGCACCTTGAAGATAGGAATCTCTAGGATTCCAGCAGGTCAGACCCTGCTTTCAGATATTGAAATCAGGACAGTGGTATGCAAATGGCACTTTAACACATTAAAGAATTTGAAAGTCAGCCATCTGTTTTGTTTTGTGGCCTTACACTAATAAACAAAAGATACAGTACAGCCAGGCGGGGGAATGAAAGGAAGGGTAGTGTCTTTGAAGTTCTCTCCATCCACTTGAATCTCTTCAGGCAACCTCAGAACCAGCAGCTGAGGTAGGGTGCCCAGAGCCCTTGATATGCGTGCAGCGACCGCTCCCACAAAGTCCATCCCACTTAACAGGGATGTGCAGGAAATCTCACAAGTGTTCTAGAGGGCCTGCAAATTCCGAAGGTTTGAAGGTTTTTCTCCCCAGCCCATCTTTTCAAAACACCCTTTGAAAAGGAAGGGAGTCGTATGTCTGTATCTGTGATGCTGTAGATTTTCTACTCTGATCTGAAGGCTCAAAGTCTCCAAATGTGTGTGAAAACTAAGGATGGTCCAACACTTGCCTAGAATATACAAGGCTCTGAGTCCCATCCCCAGCATCACCAGGAAAAGAGTTAGAAGATGTTGCTTAAACTCTGAAATACGTTACAAATAAAAGGAAATTGGCAAGAGGTCTAGAACAGCCATGGTGAATGTCATCCTTTGTTGACTCCCTCTGAGATCTGACACATGCCTCCATCAGAAACCGCTTGGATATACAAAGATGTGAGCTGGTTTTCATAAGGTGAGCTGCAAGAATCTAGAGAGTACAAACTTCTGCCCAGGCTCTGCGGCATGGAATTAGAAACGGAGAGCCTTGGCAGTCATGTGGCAATGGTGTGAAAGTTGAATCTGAAGGGGTAAGATGCACAATGCAGACATGCTGAGGAAGTGGGTCAAAGGATGGACGCTGATAGAAAGAATGGGGGAGGGGAGGCAGACCATACTCAACTTAAAAGGTAGACTGTATGAAACATTGCCTGACAATCCAAAAGAGAAAGGAGGGGGGGTTATCCTTACCACAGTTTTATACTGAAGCTGATTAAATGTGAATCTCTCTGCTGTTGGTTCCCTAATGTGAGGAAAGACTGACTGAAGACAGTTTTCAGCTTTTGAAGGGGCTCTGTTTATATATGTGTCAACATTCAGTTGGAGGTGAAAAGGTTAGCACTTGACCCAGGAAATATCCATGTTTGTTTCAAAAATAGATCTCCTTCATACATTCCTTCACTAGCTTTTCCATTTTGAACTTTGATGACAATAAAGGAGCTGCTGTTATGATGAAGAGATCAGCGCATTAACTAGACATTGGTTGGATGAAAACATACTTATAAGAAATGCTGCAAGCTACATGTCAATGGAAGGCCCACTTCTTTGAAAATAAATACTATCCTTCTGTCCTTCCCCATATATCCTTCCCCTTGCTTTGCAGTAAGACACAAACTGTAGCCCAGCCAAATTCACAGATGCTTAAGCATACCCGAAACTTGAATATTTTTATTACAGACATCTTAAGACCCGTAAACTCTGCTCTGGATCACAACCCTCCAGGATCTCAGAGCTGTTCATGATTGTACAGGAAAGGGGGGCTATCATAGACTCACAAAGGATAACTGATAGAACTCAGTGTGGTACTTCAGGGACATCAAAACATTGTGCGACATGCAGAAGACTATTCACGAATCACACAAAATATACATTCATTGTGCCATCACATTAACAATTAGCTGAAAATACATTGTATCCAGCCAAGATAGCTGTGGAAAGAAAGGGTGATTGAAAAGAGTACCTTTAGGTTACAAATAATCCAGCACACTTTTTAAATGGAGGGTGGCCAGAGAAGCAAGAAGAAATCGGTAGTTTGGGAAGAATTGGCACAGCAAAGCTTCTGAACTTTGGGCTTCTCAAGCCTTCTTGACTTTGCAAGAACAAATTGAAGCTACCTTCTGAGGCATCTGGTTCTGTTTGAATGAGAGGATTTCCTCCCCCTTTTCACCCATAATCACACATAAACTGGACCAGTTTTGGGAGTTTGCCCACCCTGCTTGATATAGTTGTACATATTTCTAGAAAATCTGTATAAAGATAAATCTCTCGAGAGAAAGCATTAAGAGCCAGCAAACTCACACATATGAAATCAATAAAGTTAAGGGGTGGATTAATTGTGTAAACACATTCAGTGAATCTCTTCTTCATGAGCCTTCGGATACTCTCTTTTTGTGTGTGTGTCCTACTTAAGAGCCAGGTAGAGAAGAACAATACACAGATAAAAGATGAGGTGCTTCCCTTCCGCAAATGCCTGCTGGCGAAGGGAGCTGTCCTCCGAAGGACATCTGAAAAGAACCATAGATTGTGTGAGAAGAAAGCTCTCACAACAGTGAGGAAGGAATGTTGGGGGCCACCGGAAATTGATATGGGCACCCGATGTGGATTAAGGATTTAACTTCCAACCAAGTCTCCAGAATTTTCTGGAACTACATTATCTTGGCCAAGAGCTCCCTGGAATGAACCAGAAAGGAAAAGAGATACTGTAAAGAAAGAAAGATAAGCTAAAGATGTGCTTTGGGTAAGAAACCCCAGCCCAGGGAGAAGCCTGGACTGCGGAGTTGGGCTGGAGTGACCTCAATGAGGGGTAGTCAGGGTGTCTGAGGTAGATGATGCCGGAGAAGGAACACAGGGCGAGGAGCTGGATTTCTCAGAAGATTCTTCAGCTTTCTCGTCGCTTCCAGGAGGAGTGGCTGGAGAGATGGGCAGGAGCCCCTCCTTCTCACGCTTCTTCTGCTTCATGCGGCGATTCTGGAACCAGATCTTCACCTGGGTCTCGTTGAGCTGCAGGGACGCGGCTATCTCTACCCTGCGCGCTCGTGTCAGGTACTTGTTGAAGTGGAACTCCTTCTCCAGCTCGGTGAGCTGCTTGGTGGTGAAGTTGGTGCGCACTGCGTTGGGCTGACCCACATAGCCATACTCTCCAACTTTCCCTAGGGTAACGGAGGGAGAGAGGTAAAAGGTAAAAAGTCTTAAACCCTTATCCGATTGCCCCGGGTTTGGGGCAATCTTAGGTTAACTGCTCAGCACAAACCCGGCTGGGAAACACTAGTGAAGAACAGTGAGCATGTAAAGTGTTAACCTGAAGTCAACCATTAGCATGGTCAGGCTCCTGATTAATGGAGCCTGTAGATATTAACGAAACTCCACCACCACCGACACCTCCCACCCACAACACACACACACTTCCTACTTGTAGACCACTTAAGCATCAGCCCCTTTGAAAATGCTAGGTCCAGAAACTCCTTTGCCCCAACACACCTGGCCACCCTACACCACACACTACAACTCCAGATAACACCAGACAGCAGCAAGAACTCGTCTTTTAAAATCATTAACTTTTCTAGGAAACGCCGTGCATTGGCCTCTTTCAAAATCAAGCAGCATTTTTTTGCCAGCCGGCAGGACTCACCTGTTTTGGGAGGGTTTCTTTTAACTTTCATCCAGTCAAAGGTCTGTGCTGGAGAAGGTGTCTCTGAAGCAGGGGAGCGACAGGCTTCTTGGTGGCTGGCGTGGAGAGGGGATAAGGAGTTATTATACGTGGCCAGGGCCAGGCTCTGGTGCTCTTGTCCATAAGAGTGGTGAATGTACTGAGGCGAGCCCACCGTGCCCCCAGCATAACCCTGGTGGTGGTGGTGGTGATGCTGGACCATGGGAGATGAGAGGTTTCCAGAGTAAACAGCGGGAGCGCACGGGGAGTACCCACCACTTACGTCTGCTTCCTGATTTAATCCATAGGGGCCATAAGGCGCACTGAAGTTCTGCGCGCCATAGCTTGGACCACAACTCGAGTGGGAGTAGGAAACCCCCAGGCTCCCAGAAGTCTGGTAAGTAGCCGGCTGGGGGTGGTGATGGTGGTGGTGGTGGTGGTGGTGGTGGTGGGGAGAGCTGATCTGCACCCCCCTGCCCACTAGGAAGCGGTCGTCGCCGCCGCAGCTGTTGGCACTGACCGCGCACGATTGGAAAGTTGTAATCCCATGGTCAGAGGGGTAGGCTCGCGCAGAGCAGGTCCCGGAGTCGCCACTGCCAAGGATGGGGTATTCCAGGAAGGAGCTCATTCTTGCATTGTCCATCTGTCACTGAGTGACTGGGTCCTGCGAAGCCCTGGGTGACCGTGCCAACTTTCTCACTTCCTCCATGGGACCAGAGAAGAAAAATGATATGAATGTACAGTGCGCAAGAGGCGGGGCGGGAAGGCGGAGGGCTCAAGGGGAAGGACACGTGACTTTGTCAGCCAATGACTGAGCCGCCTGCGAAAGTTTACCGGCTGCCGCGGTGATGGATCACCGTTTCAGTGGCATTTAAATCCCCGGCGCTCCTCAGTCTAGGTGACGCGCGGTCGCCCCCCCAGGCAGCCCGGGCCGCGGCGGCCGCTGCCAGAGCTGACTTGGAGCACTGGGGCCAAAGGGAGTAGAGATTGACTTCTGCGCGCGCCCGACTCTGCTCGCCTCCGCCTCCAGGATGTGGGGGATGGGAGGCGACCCTCCACTGCCCTTTCCCCACCCAGCCCAGAAAGCTGAACTGGCAAGAGGTGAGAGGGGACGAGGCCTCCCGGCTCTCTTGAGGCGGGCATCGGTAGGCCAGAGCTCTCCGCTTGGTCGCAAGGACCCTGGCGGAGCCGGGAGCAAGCGGGGTGGGAAGGGTTGGAATCCAGCAGACATCATGCCCTCAGCTCGGGATGGCCGCCACCACCCAGTCCCTGCAGAGACTTGAGCCTGGAACCGAGACGCCTAGGGCGAGGCTGCGTCACTGGCTCGCCCGCCTCGGAATGTGGAGGGGACGTGTGCAAAGGATTGTCTGGGAGGAACCAGGGTGGGTGTGCAAGGGACCAGAGAAAGAAAAGAAACTACCGTCCTCATCCCGGAGGGTCTTAGAGCCCTCTGCCCTGACTCATACGGGCCAATTGCGTGGCAATGGGAGCTTCTGTAATTCGACCCCAGGGGGGCCGGGGAGCCCTAGGAACCTAGCTCTCTGGGAAAGGCCGGGTGTCTGCTCTCGTCTCTGCCCTCCCTCTTCCCTGGATCTCTTCCCCTTTCTCCTTCCCAATCGGCTTTGCTCCTGGTAACCCAGCAGGATCCGGAGCAACTCTGCTGCTGGAGTTTGAGGTTGGAAGGCAGATGACGCTAGCAGACGTGGCCGGCGTGACGGCTGCAGGCCATCTGTCTGCTCTTAGAGACCCAGGAGCTTGCTCGCTCCAGTGTAGGCCTCGGAGGGACAGAAAACAGTTCCTACAAAGTATGCTGACCTCCCTCGTCCCATTTCTCTCTTTCAGGGGGCTTGTTAGGAGTGGGAGAGCCTCCTCTTCCCACCGCCCCCTTTTGCATGTCTGGAGAGGGGGTGGGGACTGGCAGGTGGGAGGGGCAGTGGACAGATGGCTGAGTGGATGGGATACTTTCCAACGGACTGTGTAGTTGCTTCAGGTCACTCCCCGGAGAGACACGTGCAAATGTGAGCATCATCCCAGGACAGGGGTCCTGTTTTCCATCAACCTCATCCTATGATGATGCTGTTGGTGTTGGTAATTGCTGTTTACTATTAGGTTTAATGTCAGCCCAAGGCTTGGAGAGAGGAAAGGCCACACAGAGACGAGAATGGACACATTGTTAAGCAGGAGAAAGTCAGTGATCATCTAAGAAGCCTTGCAGACAATTCTGCACAGGTTTTACTCTGACCATGCTTCTAGCCTTGGATTCAGACATGAAATTACCAGTGTAATTGATATGTGAGTTTGGGTGTTCTCTATAGAAAAAGGAAGTTTTGTTCAGGGCAGTCACTTTTCAAATGTGAAGTCACTCTTCAGACTTCTGTGTTTTGTTCTCCACATATAGAAGTCGTGGTCCCTGCCACCCCCACCCCCAGTCCCAAACCTGGCCATCCTCAGGGAAATCTAAGTAGACCTGGCCCCTGTCTTCCTCAGTAGCAACCACTTATTTGGGGGGTGGTATTTCTCTGTGACCTTTGGCTCACCACAAAGCATGGTTAGGGGGAGCAATGACTGGAAACTTTCCCCTGCCTTAACTTCAGGTCCAGAGGAATCATATCAGAGGAAAGCAGGGTAGACCTCCCAGAGGAGGTTGTCTTGGGAGGCCAGGCCTCCAGCTATGAGGAAAGAAGGGACTCCTGTGGGTCAGGAACAGGAAGTGAGAAGCCAGTGAGCTGCTCATTTAGCAGAAGACCTTCCGTTCCTTCTCCCCCTTGCCTCCTTCTGGCCTTCTGTGGGCCTCTTCCCTCCGGATTTGCATTAACCTGCTAGAACCTGGACACTGGTCTCAAAGCTGCCCCGGGTCTCTGTTGGCCCTACTTGTGCTAGTCCTCGCTCCCTTCAGCCCTCTGTGTTCCTGCGGTGTTTTCCTCCAGATCACAGACAGACACTGGAACCCGACCCACAGACGCCCGGGCTTCCACAAACCTTGCCCTATTAACTGCGGGCTCGGCCTCTACCGGCTGCGGGCCCATGCTTTCCCGGGTAGGCTCTCCAAGACAACCTCCCCTAGCCTGGTCTGGGTAGGCTTCTGTAGCCAGGATTCTTTCCCAGCCCCCACCCCAGAGGAATCACCGGGAAGGCTACTGAGCAGGGTAAGAGACCTTTGGTCTTTTGATCAAGGAGGCCAGCAACCCACGCAATCAAGCTAAAGTCTCTTTAAATAGCCCCCAGTAGAGTGGGTGAAAGGCGAGCTTGGACCATGAGTGAAATAAGTCTCTGCAAGCGGCTTGCTCGGCTCCAAGTGCCTCTTTCAGGGCCCTTCCACTGGAAAGGGAACGAGCAAGGAGGAGACAAACCGAGGCCCGGAGCTGTTCTTGGCATCCGCGGCTCAGCCAAGCTGTTGTTTTAAAAGAGCAATAAAAATGAATTATGACTAAACGCCTTCTAACTTAATGCTTTCGGACGGGGATCCCCGGCAAATACGTAAGAGGATTTTTATTTGTGCATGTGTTCCTGCAATTGATCTCTTTGATGACATTCTCATTCATAGAAAGCGTTTGATTTATGAGCTTTGGACGAATCGCATCCAGGAGCTCAACAGCTCTGCCACAGCTGGGGCTGCCCTGGTAGGCTCTCTTGGAGCCTGGGGCTTGAACCTACCCAGTCCCCACATACCAAGGCTACCGAGTGTCTGGGGGAGTAAAGAGTGGAGGGAAGGAATGGTAGGGAGCATACCCCGCCCCCCCCAAGAAAGATCTAGGTTTCCTTGTAACTCCCAAACCTTTGCAGTTAAGAGCTGAGTTCTTAAACACCAATCAGCTCGGCCCACGCACATGTTGCTGCAGTTTCTCACGGTAAGTAGGTCATCAGAACAGAGCCCAGAAAAGAAAGAAAGAAATAAAAGTAGGGGCAGACAAAAGAAGAGGGGGAAAAAACCAGAACACCCCAATAACACACCCTAGATCACATTTTATTGATTTCATTTAAAGTGCTCCTTCTGTCTAAGAAACCGGGTTAAATAATAATCTAAGGTGCAGAAACTCTGTTTTAAAATCTCAACTTGCTAACCTGACTTCAAACCTTTAATGATTTATAATTAGCAATGTAAACAGATCTAAGAATTAAATATTGGTGTGTGTGTGTATGCGCTGTGGGGGCAAGAATCTTGGAATTATGGAAAGAATCCTTCCTGGCATGCATTTTCCAGCTAGTAACCATTGTTTTGTTTTATTTTGTTTTCCTCTATCTTTTAGGTCTGTTTTGCCTGAACCCATCAACAACTGGGAAATAATCAACCACACTGAAAATGGGGAGAGAGGGGGGAGGAGCTGGAATGTAGACGTTTGAAACAAATGCGCATAAGTAAATGAATTTTTGATAACTTGGTTATTGACCTAGAGACTGATAGTTTGTTGTTAAGGGAACTCCACTTTACTTATCCTAGATCTGGGAGTTTCTGTAGGCACTTTATTTCTCAACTTTCAAAAGCTTGGGCTGGAGCCAACTCAGGCTGCCCAATCTTGTTTCTATCACTAATTTAACTCTATGGCTTGAGTCTCAACACTGAAAACCAAATCCATTCCCTTGGGGGGGGAGAAAAAAAACTTGCTAGAGCCCTAGCCACTTTCTGGCTTTCTTCTTTGTTGTTGTCTATTGCAGACTTTGAATGTGCCACCCTAATAAAATATATTAAAATTGAAAAGGTAAACTGTGACCAGACTTTTATTTACCATATTAGACTAAAAGAAGTAAAGAGAATAAGTATGAGCCTTGAGAAAGGGGGGAAGGAAAAAATAAGAAAGCTACTTATAGCAAAGGAGAATTTATTCTACCAAAAATACGCATGACAATGCATCCTAATGTGATACAAAAATAAAAAGAAAGTGACAAGACAATTTATGGTCACTTTCTTGCAGGCCTCGTGTTTTGTTTCCAGGAGAATCACATAGAAGCTTGTTGGGTTCGGTGTAAAACGACTAAAACACCAACATAATCCATAAGAGATGGCTTTAAAACTGGGTCAGAGGAAAACATTAAACAGAAAATCCTCAACATTTAAGAGAGTAGGGGTTAGATCAAGAAGAAAATAAAACGAAAATGAACCCCCGGAATAAAAGAAGGCAAAACCACCTGGTTAAAGGGGTTTTGTGTTGGGGCGCTTTGTTTTGCTTTAATGTTCTTAGTAATTCAGATGCTGTAGGTCGATTGTGGTGAGTGTGTCTGTAAAAAAGTCAAAGCTGTCAGCTGAAATATCTACAGGACTGTCCAGGGAGCCTGGCAAGCTGGGCGACAGTGCATCTGAAAGCTGCAGGCAGGAATCTGTAGAGAAAACATTAAAGTCCTGCAAAGAGGGGACCTCGAGGGCCTCGGGACTGTCATTGTTTAGGCCAGCTCCACAGTTCTGGCCCATTGTTGACAAGCAGTTAGGAACAGTGGGTGACTGATGCTGAAAATGTTTCAAATTTTTCTCATTGCTGGTTAAAGGCGAAACTGGGAAAGTTTGGGAGTCGCCATTGTGTCCGTTGGGAGCCTGCTGTTGAGAAAGCGCATTTTGCTGAAAAGTGTAGCCTTCCCTCTCCAGAAGAGCCCCGGAGACGCTGAGAGCTTGCTCAAAGAGAGACTTCTCTTCCTCGTCCTCCTCCACTTTCTCTGAGTCCTCCAGGATCTTATATTTCCCTTCGCTGTTTTGGTTCTCCTTGCACTGAGTCTGCCTCTTGTGCTTCATCCTCCGGTTCTGAAACCACACTTTGACTTGTCTCTCAGTCAAATCCAGCAGCGCGGCGATTTCCACCCTTCGGGGTCTGCAAAGGTACTTGTTGAAATGAAATTCCTTTTCCAGCTCCAAAAGCTGAGTGTTGGTGTAAGCAGTTCTCAGGCGCCTGGATCCCCCGCCGCTGCCATCAGCTATTTCCAGGGATTCTGCGGGAAGGGAAACCAACAAGAGACACACGTATAGTTGAAGGTGGAGGGGTCTGAGCAGGGTTATTCCACTGGAGAATAAATACAGCCGAAAAGATCAACTGCAACAAAATGGCCGCCCCTGGATGCCGTGCATCTATTGTGCCGCCTTTCCTGGGAGCCCAGCCCGGGGAAGCCCAGTCTCCTTCACCTCCATCAAATCCTGACTATGGCTCCCCCCAACCTCTTCATCCGGGAGCAAACTTTATATTAGCTACAACACAATTTATAATTAATGCATCAGCTGCTTAGCTGAGCAAGAGCGGTCTATCACTCTTCATTACTGTCAAAAAGCCAAACTCTAGGACAACTAGACAAGAGGAGGTCAGTTCCAACTCAAATAAATCATCCTACATTACACAAGTTAGGGAAAGTCCCCCCTCCTCAAAATATATATGTCTCATTGTGGAGCACAGGATCTATTTTCCCCTCCATCAAACCTACTCCTGAGCCCACAGGGGAAGGGGACCCGCCACCAGGCATCTCTCTCTCCCCATCCCCTCGAACCCCACGGTCCCCTCCCCCCCCATAACCGCTCTCAGGGAAGCCCGCAGGGGGAAGAGGGTCCCGGGGACCTTGGGCCAAGTCTCGGGACTGACCTTTGTGGCCGAGGCAGGCAGGGCCCGTGGAGGCGGCGGCGGCGGGCGGCAGCGCTGTTTTCTTGGCCGCCTTCTTCTCCTTCATCCAGGGGTACTCGGGCGGCTGCAGGGCGCCGGCGGGCACCGGACTGCCGCGACTGCCCGCGGGGCTCGACTTGGGGCGGCCGCCAGCGCCGTGGCGAGGGTGACTGCCCGGGTTCAGGCTGGGAATGGTCTGCTCAAAAGGAGGAGGAATCAGTGTCGAGTGTGAAAGCGTCGAGGTCTTGATTGATGAACTTTGAAATGTATCAGCGACAGGGGGAAAAGATGTCAGGCACTCAGCGAGCGACGGCTGGCTATTGATAAAACCAATCTCTCGCTCAAATTCGTAATTCATGGCCTTCTCCTTGGAGCCCCCTCGGAGAAAAAGTTCCCTCTTTTGGAGGGGCTTTGGGGGGGCAAGGCCCAAGAAAAAGGCGAGCGCGGAGGGAAAAAAAATCTATCATAGAAGATCGCTGCTGGGGTGTTTTTTTTCTAATTCACTGATTACAGCCGTATGGGGACCGCGCTACTATTAAACTATTGAATTCATGGAGACAAGGTTGAAATTGGACCGAATTGGCTGTCACATGATTGCTTCTGCCCAATGACAATTTGGGCTTTAATCAAAAGAAGCCACTGTCTGTTTGATTGATCCAAAAAAGTCAGAAAGGAACGCCTCATTGGGGGCCATCGAGGCTTTATTTACACTTTTTTCAGGGCAAAAATACATATATGTGGGTGTGGATGGGAATGCCCCGGAGTGTGTGGGGGCGAGAGTGCCTGTTTGCCTCCCGATCTGAAAGATCTAGTGTGCTCCCTGGAGTGTGTGTGAGTGTGTGCGTGTGAGCCCTGCTGCAGGTCCCGCCAGCGGCTGCCCTCTGCCTCCCCCGCACACTCCGCGCATTGTTTGGGACTGTCGGAAAGACGCCTCGCACCTCACAAATCATTTAAGCACCTCAGTCTGACGCCTGCAGTCATTAACAAAGTAATCCATTAATCTTCAAAGTTTTGACACCCGAGGGCCCTGCATCCCAGTCACATAAGTTCTGCTAAGGCATAAGGCAAAAGAAAACAGCAGAGAGAGAGAGAGAGAGAGAGAGAGAGAGAGAGAGAGAGAGAGAGAGAGAGAGAGAGAGAGAGAGAGAGAGAGAGAATATTGGGGGATTCCCCATTCTTTCTCCTCTATTTTCCCTGAAAATCAGTTCCTGGATCTCAAAACCGATTCATGCATTCATTCATTCTCTCTCTCTCTCTCTCTCTCTCTCTCTCTCTCTCTCTCTCTCTCTCTCTCTCTCTCTCTCTCTCTCCTCCCTCCCTCTCTCCTTTCCCTTTTCCTCTCTCCTTCCCCCACCCACTCTGCCCTGTCCGCCTTTCCTCCTCGAAGCCCCTCTTAATGTCCAGCCTGAGATCTGCGCCCCCCACCCACCCCAGCCCATTGTTAGCTGGCTTTTCCTCGGCAGCTTTGCATCTGGCTCCTGCGGGCAGCCGAAAAGGAGAGGCGGCTCTCGAAGCTTGCCGATCTTCTCTCGCCATCAACTTCTCAGGAGGGGCTGGGGACAGATAGATGCAAGTGCCAAGAGAGACAGCGCCCCAGGTCCTTGTGTCCAAATCCCCGTAGCCTGGGCGGCGGCCAGCCAAAGAAATGTCGCCCCCGAGCAGGCTCTGCGGCTCCTGGCACTCTGGGTTTCATACCCGTAGGGCTCGGGTGCGGTGAGTATTTCCGATTTCCAGGAAGACTGCTGGAACTTGTCAGCAAGGAGGCAGAGGACTCTTGATCCTCTCTCCCTATTCCCTCTTACTCTTCTTCGAGTACTTGTCGCTCTTGTTGGGGACTGGTTGGTTGAGTGTTTCTTGACAGCCTGAATTGCCTCCCACACCTTCCTGCTCCTGGGCACCAGGGAGATCTGCACCCTGGTTCTGTTGTGGGAAACAGCACTGTCGGGGAGAGGGCGACTCAAGGAGGAGTTAACATCGCTTCAACTTCTCCATCATTCTCTTTCCTCCAGTACTGAGAGAGGACTTCAGATTGAGTGCTGGACAGTGCTGAAGGATTCAAAAGATAACACCTTTAGGTACCAAGCAAGAACTTAAAAGAAAAAAAAAAAACACCAAACCAGAAAGGGAGAGAGAGAGAGAGAGAGAGAGAGAGAGAGAGAGAGAGAGAGAGAGATCTGATGAAGGTACCTTCTCTCCCACAAAACCCTAAGGATGGTGATTCGGTTTTTTTTTTCTTCTTCTTCTTCTTCTTCCTTTGAAATGGACCAAGTGATCAGAGTGCCCCAGGCCCGCAGGCATCAGTGGCAGGAAAATAAATCATTCTGATGGCCAAGAAGAGAGAGGTTGGTGGGGGAGAAAATTCTATGCAGAAAACAAGAAAGGCCGAGCAAGGAACGGGGGCAGAACTCCATCTCTGAGGCCAGCATCTAAGGGGTTTGGGTTGGAAATGAGCTATAAAGTGGCCTCCAACCTTGACCAACCCAGAGCATTGCCTTGCAGATAGAGATGCTATTTTGGAAAAATGTAAGGTTTTCCAGTTTTCTTGCTTTTATTCCAAACAAAGCTCTGAAGGAAGTCTGGGTGTGATCAATCTTGCTCACCCAAAGCCTTGACAGCTTCTGGCCCTTAAGAACACATTTCAGCTTCAAGCTTTTTCCAAGCTCAAATGTGGCCGAGCAGAGAGGAGAGCAGGAAACGCAAGTAAACGAGTAAATTCTGTCTTTTTAAAGATCGGGTTTGGGCAGTAGAGATGATTTTAAGACAACACTTAGGAAAGGTGCTTTGCAGATTCGAGGGTGGTGGCTTTGGGCATCTGCTTTTACCAGAAAGTATTGAGGAGCAGGAAAGGAAAGTTGGAAAGCCCACACTATGGGCCTTTGTCAGGCTGCGTGGGTGAGAGTATTTCCCTCCTCTCCACTGCCTTAATTCAAAAGCCATCTGGAAGAAAACTCTTTTCCGAGACCAGCATTCAGATCTTCCCTAGTCTGCTACTTTAACTCTAGACATAGTTTAATAAAGATTTCTTTTTCATCTCCAGGAAACTGAGGACAAAGTGGATATATTTTTTTCTTTGAAAGCCAAAATGAATGCCTTGACTGGCAAGATGTGGGAAACAGTATTAGAATTTCCTTGTACAGTCTCTGCCCTGGGGAAAAAAGGAAGCCTCCAAACCATTCTTGCCTTACTTAAAAGGAAGATTTTAGGAATGGGTTCCAATGCTGAGATCTCTGAAGGGTTTTCAGGTGGAGACCCCACACACACCTCTTCCCCCTTGACGCTGGTCCTAATTTTTCCAGGTAATTTTGTGCATGTTTCTAAAATGCTTACATAAAAAGACTACTGTGTCTGCACGCCATCAACAACCAAAAGGCTCTAGTTCTCTCCAAGACTGGTTTTCCAGCCTCTGCCTTTCCGATGTGAGCACCATATTTCCACAGAGACGTTGGGGTGAGGGAACAAATCCACAGCTACAGGCCAAAATCTTTGAAAAGAAAACATGAACCGGAGGATAAATGTGAGGAAAGCTCCTTTGGTGTGAGACTCCAGTTTTCTGCAGTGGCCTGGTTTTGTATCCTCCAAAATTTTTCTTTTTCCTAAATCATGAAAAGGGTCCTTAAAAGCTGCTCTCTGAGACTCAGTGGGTACCCAGAAATGACTCCAATGCTGGCTTCTAAGGATTTTCTTAGGACACTGGGGTTGTGGGTGGGTAGAGGCCCTGATGGTAGATATTTGAGGCTGCAAACAAAATGGCGACATTTTCCACTTCTGCCTCTGAAAGCTACAATCCGGGGAGAATGGGGGCTTAGATCCTCCCAATTCCCAGACACAGGCTGTTCACCTCCAGCTCCGAGGGGTTGATGATAACTGCATTTTCTGAGGCTTGCATTTTCTGAATTTGGCTTCTTGAATCTGTAATTCTTTACCGTGAAGATGGAAATATTTTTCCTTTTCCTGTGTCTGTCTGCCTTTGACTCTGCCGGCCAGTCAGCCTGCATCCTATCTTAAATCCAAAAGTGAAAATGTAATATTAACTTGTGTTGCAGCAACTGAAAGAAGCGCTTGTACAATTGCATTTTTATTAGAAAGATACCAATCTCCTTTCTCTCTCCTCCTCCCCCTGGGGCCATAAAAACAGAGGAAATAAATCCACAGAATGGCAAATGCTGAATTCCGGGAGGAAGTTGATGATGAGATTCATGGAAGGGATTTCTTCCAGTCCAAGGAAGGCCTGGTGGACTCTCTGGAGCTCAGTTCTTTTGCTGGAGACCTGAGGGAGCATCGGTCCCTTTGGACCTTTGGAGCTGAATTTAGGAGAGCCTTTTCCCCCATCTCTTCCTTCTCCAGGAGCGATAACGAACCACAAAGCATCTGCGATGAAGACCTGGAAGGCTATAGCTTCCAGAACTCAGGGCCCTGTGCGATTCCTAAGGTTGAGGCGTTGGCCGATGGGCTTTCGGTGCCGGGAAGTGGAGAGGACCCGGTTCTCGAGGCTCTGCGTCCCGCACCTGTGCGCCCCCCGCGGCGCCTTGGCCGGCTGCCTTTGTTTTCTCCGCGTCGCCCAGGCACTTCTCAGTCAGGCGCCCTCCGCCTGCCTGGGCGGCAGCTGGGAACCAGACAGCCCAGCGGACCCGGAGCACGGTAAACCCCGAGCTGCTGAGGCCTCCTGAAACCGCGGCCTCTTTCTCATGAACTCGCCGAGCTTCCGGGCTGACATGCCCGGCCAGGCCGCACTCCCGAGTCGCGGTGCTGAGGCAGCGGCTGCCCGCTCGCTTCTGCCTGTACTCCACGCAGAGCCCCGTCTTCAGCCAAAGAACCCCTTTTGACACGTATCTTAATCAGAATAAAAACTTTATTTTTTATTTTTGTTTTGTTTCTCAGAATGTGAGCAGCAAGGAATGTAAAATTCTCAAAACAAATCTAGCATTTTTAGCGTTCACTTTTGTCTGCTGTTACAATCCTAAACCACTGTTTTCAAACGCTGGGTCTTCTCTGTTCTTATTGCATCGCTACGGTTTTTTATAAAGGAATTTTATTTCGCTTTCAAATAAATTTTATATGTATGCCAATACACCATTGAACAAAAGGCTCAAGAAACCTTCTGAACAATCAGGGTACAGAGTTTCTTTAATATAAATACGAACGGATGGGGATAAATAATATTTAAAACTATTCAATGCTTGCAAAAAATATAAATAAATCTGACTGTTCACAAGCATACACACACGGAAAGACGTACACTTAGTCATCTTTGCACAGGGAGTCCCTGTTTCAAAGCGCCTTTGATTTCTTTTTCTCGCTCATTACAAGAAGTGCAATTTTTAAAAACTAAAACTTAAAAAAAACGTAATCGCTTCCTCTCGGGAGCCACAACGTACAAACAAATTCACATTGAAAACTCAACTAGAAAGTTTGTTCATATACCCTGTTTCTTATCGAAGAGTAGAGAAGAAGGTAAGGGTGCTGGGCCAGAGGCCGTGGCCGGTGGGGATGGGAGGGATGTAAATGTCACTACTGATACTGACAGCCTTTCCAGCAACCAAGATTGCTACGTCACATAAACCATAAAAACGCATTACCAAAGAAAACAAAATGAGGGAGGGGTGCAGAGGAGAAAAGGGAGAGGCCGGAAAAACAAAACAATAAAAAAAATTAAAGGAGAAAACCAAAGAAGGTGTGGAGGACAACTCTCCTGGCGCGCAGCCAGAGCCCACCATCACAGGTGGGTGAGCTTGGGCGCTTCCTGAATTCTTCCCTGAGAAGGATGGTGGGCAGTAAGGTCCGTGTAGGTGGGGTGCTGCTCCCCAGGCCCCGGCCCATGGTGGTGACCGCTGCCCAGCGGCCCAGTGCCCCCGTAGTCCATGGCAGCCGAGGTGGTGTGGGGGAGGTGAGTTAGGCCAAAGAGGCTTGGCCCGGAGTTGCTCATGGGTTCCACATAGCTGCCCCCCACGAAGACGGGGCTTCCCTGTAAGTGTGGGGTCCCATAGCTGCCGTTGCCCTGCAAGCTGTGAGCGTGCGGGTCGTAGTCAGGGGTGCCCCCGGCGCCTGACCCCGCCGCCGCTGCGTAGCGCTTCTGCGGGGGAGGTGGGGGAGCGCAGCTGGGCAAGGGAGCAGGGTAGGAGGCCGGGGGCAACCCATAGGCGCCTTGGGGGGGCTTGGAGAAGGGAGGGGGCGACTGGGGCTCATAAGGGACACTGTTGACCAGCGAATGCATAGAGTTCAGATAGCCTCCTGCACCGGGAGGCACGGGACTGCGGCTCGGGGACTGGCCCCCAGACGAGGTCAGCATGCCCTTGCCCTTCTGGTCCTTCTTGTACTTCATTCGGCGGTTCTGGAACCAGATCTTGATCTGGCGCTCTGTGAGGTTCAGCAGGTTGGCCATTTCCACTCGGCGTGGCCGGCAAAGGTAGCGGTTGAAGTGGAACTCCTTCTCCAGCTCAACCAGCTGCGCGCTCGTGTACGCCGTGCGCGCGCGCTTAGACGAAGCTTGCCCAGGCGGGCTCTTGTCGCCAGCGCAGCTCTCCCCTGCCGGGACACAGAGAGGGAGAGCGGTTTCAGGGGCTGCTGGTGACCCCGCCCAGCTTCCCAGCCCTAGGCTAGCCCCTCCTTTCTTCACCCCACCGAAGCCTCCGTCCACACCGCAGAGGAGCAGGACTTCAGCACCGCTGAGGTCCTCTTGGCGTGCGGAAACAGCCCAGTTAGCCTGCCCTTCCTTCCTCTTAGGAGCAGTCGTGGACTTCTTCAAGGGGAAGACGAGCAACTGAGCCTCCTGCCTGCCTTTCTGGCCTGCACTTCCTCTCCAGCTCTTTACCTGAACGGCTTATTCGCTGGCCCATCAGACAATAAGCTTCCTGCAGGCAGGTGTCACTATCTGCAGGCCTTCAGTTGCTGAAATGCCTAGTGTATGCGTGAAGGCCTTTCATCCTCCCTGCGTGACTGAGAGTGGTCAGCCATTAGCTTCAACTAACCAGTTCTAAAATCTACCAAGAGGGAATGGACAGAGTGATAAGGTCAAACTGGAAGACCTCTGACCGATGGAGACCAGACCTCAGTCTAGACAACTTCAGCCTAGTCCTGGTAGGGAGGCCCAGGATCCTGGGGAATCCTGGTCATTAGGGTTCTCGGTGTCATCAGACAGGCTGCCCAATTTTGGCCCATCATGTTTGTGCCTCCTGTCTTCCTTGGATGCCCAAATACCGTCTCTGGATGTTCCAGACACTTGGGCTCAGGGGAGAGCAATGGAAACTGGAGAGGGCAGGGGCCAAGGTAACCAAGAGGCTTGGAAGCCCAAGGCCTTGAGACTGAGGCACCTCCACTGGAGTCCAGTTCCCAAAGCCCCATGTGGTTCCCATTAGGATGATAGGCTGAATCCCCTCCCCCAGGAGATGCCCGGCTGCCTCCTTTATTGTACTACGACTGAGCAAGGCCTTCCCAGAGGTGAGGCAGCCCCTCCATCTGCTGCAGTAAACACTGGCTCTGATCATAGACAAAGCATTGATTCTGACTTGGGCGATGATTAGGTCTGCTTTTATTCTGTCACATTTCTGTGGGGAGGATGCCACTGTTTGCTTAGAAAAGAGGAGGTTTGCTGAGAGAGACAGAGACCCTCAGGATGGTTCTGCCTAGAGGCCACAACTCTCAACACTGGAACAAGGGGAGATTCCAACTTCACCAGGCTCAAGCTGCCTCAGAGAGGTCTAGAGGGACTTCACTCGGGTTTATGGCTGGGGGATCCTTGCCATAGAAACCTTATCACCTCCCTAAGTAGCAAAAATTCTGGAAACATTTTCTTCTTGGGTGTATGTGTAGGGAGAAGAGTGGGGGGGGAATAAATTTCCACTGCTCCTAGACTGTGCTGTTAATGATTAAAGGTGGCTTGGGGCTCAGAGCTTGGCCATAGGCCCCGCCTCCGGAAGGAAGGCACCCATTTACCTGAGCTGGAGCCGCTGGTTTTCTGTTTAGTATTCTGTCTCGACTCCTTCATCCAGGGAAAAATTTGTTTGCCCACTGTGGGAGAGTTGAGCAGGGGGCTCTTGGCTGTGCTGGCGGGGGTAGGGTTGCTGTTGGCACTTTGAGGAGGGGAGACAGAAGAGGGAGGCGGGGGAGCTGCAGGGGTGGGCGCAGGGGGCTGTGGTGGGGGCTGTGGAGGCTGTGGGGCTGGGGGAGCTGCCTGGGGGGAGGAGGAGGCAAAGGCGGGTCACCCAGGCCTGGGGGCTGGCTAGGAGGGCCGCTCAGGGTGCGCAGACACGCCTCACTCAGTTCGTGAGCTTTGGGGTGGCCCCCAGCGCTGGCGGGGGACTGGAGGGAGCAGGCGGGTCGGTGGTACTCAACGCCATCGGTGCCCAGAGCCGCAGACGGAGCGTATGGCTGCTGACTGGCATTGTAAGCGAACCCATTGGCTGCTTGGTAGGGGTAGCCACCGTAGATCGCCGAGCTGTCGTAGTAGGTCGCTTTTTGCATCGCGATGTTTCACGATAGTGATCGCACACTCTGACAGGGGCTTGACACCCGTGAGGGAGCACATTGGCACGCCCCCGCGGTCACGTGACACTCCGCCGCCAATGGCCGCCGCGCGCAGACCTGAGGGGGGGGGGAGAAGTGTAGCGCGGTGAGGGCTCCGCGCAAATCCATCTTACTCTCAATAGCTAAGTGACATGAAAGCCATAAAAGAAAAAGTGGTCAGCAATATTTAGCAGCACGACGTGGCCCCGGGCGCAGGGAGCCTCGCTATAAAAAGCTGCTGGAATTTACTGGCAGCTACAAATATTTGCTTAACTTGCGTCTGGAGTTGGGGGATTTTCCGCGGAGAGAGGAGCTGAACCAGTAAGGGATGGAAGCTGGGTCTCTGGAGTCGAGGTCCAAAATGAGGAAGGCTTTGAAGGTTAGGTTGGGGTCTTTCTTTTCCAGTAGAAACCGTGGTGTCCCTTTGAAGATGCTGAAGCTCTCTTGATATCTCGGGGAAACGCTCAAGAGGGCAACCAACGGGTCGCCATTTTTCTCCAATCTCCATTTTAGGATTTATATTTACCCCAAAGACCTAAGGTAGTCAGACTTCCTTCCTAGCCAGCCTTTTCCTGGCGCTCTCAAAGGAGGTTTACACACACACACACACACACACACACACACACACACACACAGAGAGACAGACAGAGACAGAGAGAGACACACAGACAGAGACAGAGAGAGAGGGAAGCAACTGGCCACTGACCTATCAGACCATCATTGACTTCAGAAGCTGAGCCTGTCAGGCAGTTACCCTGTAGTTCAGTGCAGAGGACCAAGGTCCTCCAAATGAACCCTATGAGGTCAAGAAGTGGATGGGAGGGTGAGAAAACTTTGGGTGGGATTCTCCCTCTCTCTCTCTCTCTCTCTCTCTCTCTCTCTCTCTCTCTCTCTCTCTGTATATGGGGGGAATGTGTTGGGAACAACTAACACCACCACCCCACCCACAAACCACAACTCAAACCCTGTGACTTTCCACATGCTTTCTCCTACCCTGTTTTTCATACACTTTGAAACAAGTCACCCAACCTCTTTTTTGAAGTTACAAGAGGTTCCCATACTCTCTCCTGCCTTGGACTTTCTGAGGTGCTGTTATTCTGGGCAACTATCAAATTCTACCTGTTAAAACATGATGGATTAGAGAAAAAAACAACCCACCAGGAACCTGAAAAACCAGCGTTCATCTCCATGACCACGGCTTGAACTCTCCTTCCAACTTAACGATAATAGGTTCTGTCTTAGAAACTGCTATGCAATTTGATGTATGGGGGTCATTTGGCTCCAGAGGAGGCATAGAAGCACAAACCATAAACTCCTGCCAGACTTCCCTGATCTTTGTATACTGTTGTTGATCATATTTGTTATTTGGTCTAATTTCCTCCTTCAGAAATACTAAGTAAAGAGAAACCTAAGAAACAACTAAAAATCTCTTTTATTTAGAAAGCAGTTTGTAGGAGTGACATCTGTGTTCTCTTGGTTTTCAACTTTTGCAGGAAAAGTTGCTTGTGAGTCTTACATGTACACACACACACACACACACACACACACACACACAGAATGCTAGTCCCTCTGACCATTAAGAAAATTACCAACAAATCCATGCAGATAATGTTTTACATTTCAAACCCCAACTATGGCTATTCAATCTCAATTATTTAACTTTTCTAGAGATAGCAGACATCAACCAGAAAAAATAATATAACAAGCATCCACCAATGGGTGGTTATAATTTTGTTTTTAATAATGAACTCCCTTAGATCATCATTAAACCAACAGTCTGATCAACATCTGGAAAACAGGCACAATTAATTTCCCAGAACCTCAATAAAGGATCACAGCAGCACTTATCCAGAGTTATTGTGCATGGTCATGAACCCTGGAGTATTGTTTCCCTTTTGGAAATATTTAGGAAACTACAGATAACACTATGGAAAGTAAATAAAGGGCAAAATAAAATTTAAAATTGAATTACAATTTAATGTCTATTTTTCTCGTTCTTACACTGAAAACAGTTCCTATTATATTTGGCAGTGTTAATGCCTGTCATACATTTTTTGAGATACCAAGCTTGATTAAGGAAAACGTCAGGTTAAGAAAATTACTCTAGACATTTGAGCAACAAGATATTGGATGAAACAAAACTAAGTTGATTTTGAACGTGCAGTATTTCTAGTGACTTTCTAAGCTATTAGCACAGGCTATACCAGCCTGATGCTTGCTTAAACCTTTTCATCAGACTGTACATTGTCTTTTAAAATAACAACAAAAATCTTTTAAAAAATCAAAGCGCATAGGGCAGCGTTCACAAACTTAAAACAGGAATTCAACTTATAGATCCCATTGTTTGAGGTCCGCAATCACCTTGGAGCCCACACAACCCGCCCCCTCCAGCCCCCAAAGTTTTCAACCTAGTAAAGAAGTTGGAGGTGTGCCAGCAAGGAAACTTTGCTTTGTCCCCCCAAGCAAGGGCTAAGGGTGGAGGGAGATTCCTCCGCAACGATCTGTTCCTGGACAATAACCTCCAGGTGCAAGAGCTGAAGCGAGTTGAGGAGTGCAGGAAGCAAGCCCTGTTGTCTCGACACAAGGTATGCCCAAATGCCACCTCCTTCTCCTGACCCCAGTCCCTCTCCATGCCTTTAGCTGCCCTCACCCGAGTTTCAAAGGGGGACGTCGAGGTAGTAGCCCGGGTTCCCAGCCCACTCCTCCCTTTCTCACCCACCCAGAAAAGTTGAGGCTGGGCTAGGGAAAGAGGGGAGCGTGGGGGCGGGGATGGGAGCGCGGCCTGAACTGAAGTGTGAGGGTATCAGTCACTGCCGGCGAGGAAGCTCCGGCTTGTGAACTCTTCTTGAACCGAGATTTAAGTCTGCGGCCATAAATCACCCAGACACACACTCTACCATTCAGCGCCGAGAGAGGCCGGCGGTGGCCCGGCTTACCTTAACTTCTGACGGCCGCCGCGGGCTCGGGCTCGGGCTGCAGCCTTGGGTCCCCTCGGCGCGGGATGGCCAACGACCCTCAGCATCCGCCGAGCCGGCGGGCGGGCGGGCTGGCGGGAGACCCCCGAGGCCGGGGCTCCGCGGAGAGCGGGACGACTAAGCTGCTCGGGCGGCTGGCCCCGGGCGGACTGGGGCTACTGGACCCCCCTCCCCTCCCCTCCCCCACGCCCGCCCCCGCCCTGCCCGCGGCTGCGACCCCAGATAAGCGCTGGCGCGGCCGGGCTCCGCGGGGCTAGTGGCACCGACTTGGGTATGTTTCTTATGAACACTGCGCCGAGCAGGGGTCGGTCGGGGGGTGCGGTAAGGGGTGCCGGGGCGGGCGGGAGGGGAGAGCCGAGCGGCTGGGGAAGCGCCGGCGTGGGGGATGGGGCTGAGGCGAGGGGAGGAACAGGAGCAGAGCGAGCTCGGCGGCAGCGGGAGGAGGGCGGCCTCCCCCACCCCACGCCCTCCCTCTCCTTCCTAGGCGTCACTAAAGTCCAGGAAAATTATGCTAATGAGGACAAACGGCTCTCACAAAGGGGCTCTCTTGCGGGGCTCTATTTCTTAAGGATTTGTCTGAGAAGCCACGCAATTCCCTGCCCTGAACATTTTTATTGGGGGGTGGGGGGGAGAAGAAGAAATGAGTTGTCCTGACTTTGGGGAGTTTACTTCACCTGCCGCTCCCAATACAGACACCCCGAAGCCAGTCCCTGTGGTGCAGGGATGGGGCCTATTTCCAGACACCCTCCCAAATGCAACTCAACTACCTTTGGTGTTGTTTCTAGGCTGAAAGGAGGGAAGTGTCCGGGGGAGATAGAGGACTGTCCCCCACAGTAAAATGGACCTCTCCGGGCTCAAGCATACACAAAGATACCTAGAAACTTGAGTCTCCGTGTCTTGCGTGCCCATTTCATAGTACTGCACGAAAGGAGGTCGCCTATGAGGAAGATAGATAAGGCTCTGACACCGACACAAACGGACATCCATGATATTCCACCCCTAAGCAGTTGAGTGGCCTTCCTTTTGCTGGGTCGAGCAATGGCCTACACTTGCTTGGTAATATGCCACAACTTTAAAGACGATGGGATCAATTCCCAGTGCCCCCCCCAGCTTCCCAGCTTCAGAAGCAAACTCCTCCAGGGTAGAAGTGTGGCAGAGAGAGAGAGAGATAAAGAGAGAGAGAGAGAGAGAGAGAGAGAGAGAGAGAGAGAGAGAGAGAGAGAGAGAGAGAGAGCTCTGCTTTCGTGCAATTCTGAGGCGTCAATAAGAGTCCTTTCTCAAAGGAAGGTGTTAAAAATATAAGTAGTATGTTTAAACTGTCAGGGAGCCAAAGTGTCACCTTAGAGCAAAAACAAAGCCAGGGGAAAAGGGAAAAATCAAAAAGCACTCCGGGCCAGGGTGGCCTCATGCATACCAATGGTTTTTGTCATTTATGGCTGGGCAAGATTTATGACTCGGCTCCCCAAAGCTGTAAACAGAGCACAAAACAGCAAACACTTGCTCCTTATGGCATATTGCAGCGAAGCAACTTGAAAGGGAAGAGCGGGGCCGTGTAGGAGGTGAGACCCGGCCGCAAAAATCCGCTCGGCGGCTTTTTCTCTTCAAACCCTCAGGGTCGGATGTGGCATTTGAAGAAAGAAGGCGTGGGTCAATAATCAACCCGCACTTTCTCCTCCAAACTGCTGACGCGACTCTCACCGTCTTCTCAGCTAAGCCAGCTGCCTGAAAGGCCGTGAGAACCAGACCTGGGAGTGGACTATCTGGTCCAAAGGGGCTGAGAGCGTTGGAGCAAGGGGCTGGGGCGTCTGCAACGCGTACCTTTCCGGCTCGACCAGACCAAGCTCAGCCACTTAAGAGCTGGAACCAGACCCGACCAGGAATTGCGGGAGCCACAGGAGAGCTTGGGTGAGAGCTCAACTCAGACCAGGGCCTCCACGACTAGATGACTTCTGGGCGGTAGGCCCCAGCGGGCAAAATAGAGCTTTGATTTCAAGACGCGGGCCTGCACCCTGGCCTTATGCCTCTCCTCTGAAATCCAAAAGGCTGGCTTTGGAGAAAGCATAGGCGAGATTATTAAAATTGGTGGTTTACAATAGCAGGTTTTGTTGGCTTGTTATTGTGTTGTGATTGAAAATACGCTATTTCCACCCCTAGAAATTGCTCACTGTTGTGGTAAGCAGCTTTCTAGGCGAATCCCACCGTTCACCCGGCTTCTCCAAACCCGCCAAGTTTTTCTTTGCTCATCACCCCTGAGCTTCCCTAAGTCCCATGATTTCCACAGGGACTAGAAGATAGCATTTTCTCAGGCACAGATGAGTACTTGGAGCAACGAAGGTGCCTGATGGAACCTTTCTGCCATTCAAAGGGGTATTCTATCCGTCTCTGAGAGGCCTCACCGCTCTGAGGCTGTATGTACAAGCCAGGGAGGAAGGTGAGGAGTAACTTTGGGTGAGATACCTTAAAATCCAAGAATGGGGAGGGAAGATACGGAGGAAATACCCTGGCTGGTGAGGTTGATGTTGGAACTTTGAATACCTAGGAGGATCAGTCTTTTTTAATAGCTAATCCTTTGGCCATAACAGGCTGGCTTTAGTTCTTTCCTGGGAGGTAAAAAAACAAAAACAAAAAACACTGTGCTCTATGAAAGCAGTTATTGGCTTCTCACTGTGCATGTTTTTATATAGAACCAGTTTGGAGAGTCTGTCGTTAGATACTTATTCGGTTTGCCGGCACTGAAGTCACAATAAAAAGATGCCTCTAACAAACCTTTACTCCATTTCTCCTTTTTTCCAGTGAAACTATATTATTTATGAGTCTTTAACTGGGTCAAAATGCACAAGAACTGGGTCATAAATCATATGAAATGCTGACAAGTAATTGAACAGCAATTAAAGCTTACATTTTATTTCCAAGGGGTATTTTAGAGCGCTTGAAACAGCCTCAGTTAAGCACAGTTACCACCGAGGTCGCCATGGCGAAGGAGAATCAGCCCTTCCTGGGAAAGTAAATCTCACTCAAGTAGAAGAAGCCTCATTTGCTTTTGTTTTTTTTTAATAAAGAAATATGATTTTTTGTTTTATTAAAGAAAGCAAATTTGATTCCAACTTCTCACCAGGCATCCCTTTCTCTGCTCCAAGGAGAAAAGTAAAACCCAATTTCTTCCACTTTTCCAGAGACTTCCACTCTTCCCGGGAGCAAAAGGCCCCCAAAGCCCAATTAGTCCCAGCCTGCCCAGTACTTTGGAAGCAAGTGGTTTAACTCATTTGCCTCCATGCTGGCAATAGCTCCCTTTAAGGGAGTATAAAAATGTCTCAGTCTCTGCTTGCTGAGAGTCACATCTACAAAATTCCCTCTGATCTTTAACTCAGGCTGGATTAAGGGTATACAGAAAGCACCCAAGCCAAAAAACAAAAACAAAAACAAAAAAACACTGATGGAAGCCCAAAGTGAGCCCCAGTTTCCTTCTGAAAACCACACCAGCCCCAACCTCCAGGTAACTGGCATGATCACCAGCACCCCAAGCTCCCCCTAGGTCTGAGCTGTCTTTCTCCATCACTCCCAGGCACAGATTGCTGTGAAAACAAAGGCATGCCCTCCAGGTTGGACTCCTTGGGTCCGGCATGGGGAACTCTGCCGCTGCAACCCAACACTGAACAAAGTGGCTGGGACCATCATCAATAAAATGGCAGCGCATCTGCATGTTTTCCTCATTGATTTTCCTCTTCCATCTGCTCAGCTGCCCAGGTCAGCCCTAACCCTCCACCCTGCTCAGTAAACACTGGCCAAATGGAGAGAGAGAGAGAGACTCCCTTTCTCAGCTACTGACCCCCACTCTTTTCATGAGGTCTGGCCCCTCTAGCCTCTTGCCAGCCACCTCTGCCTGACCACGGCTTCCAGATACCTCAGACATCGGAGCCCTCCTTCTGTCTGGGGCTTAGCTCCTGGGACTTCAGCCGGTTGCAGTGGGACAAAGCAACCCTACCACTCGAGAGTACTTGGTCCATCCAGTAGCCTAGTAGCCCCTAAGTGCCCCTCCTTTACACAATTTTTTCCAGGGAATTAAACTCAGAGTCTGAGGAGCCACTGGGATCTTTCAGATGCTTTCGGTTCTAGAACAGAAACAAAGGAAGACAGAGGCTGAGAGAGAGTCCTGTCCATGGTCCAGTGTCTCCTCGCCTGACCTTTGTCTCTCATAGCCATAACTCACTCTCAATACGAACAATCAGAGGAAATACCTTAAAATAAATTCCATCCTCCTGGTATGGCCTGGAATCCCATCGGCTAGCTTGCCCAGAACTGCTCCATGAGAACTGAAAACTGCAACCCGCCAGAAGAGCGCCTGCTCCGGAGAAGGGGAAGGAGGAGAAGGAGGAGGTGGGTGCGTGGGGGTGGGGGAGAAAGCTCTCCTTCTAAAGAGAATTTAGAAAAGGCAGTCACAGAGGAAGCCTGCCTGGGTCTCCGCTCCGAGTACCACAATAATGTGCAGTATTATGTGCTCACGTGGTCACACGTCAACTTAAATCTTTTATTTGAAATAGGGAATCACTGAAGGAACCAGGTTTCCAAGGAGAACATTTAGATTTGGGGGAGAAAAAGTAGGGGACCTTGACGGGGTCGGAGGGTCAGAGTTCTGCCTTACCATAAGCAGGACTATGAAGGGGGTACCCCACACAAAGGCGCTAATCTCCACTTGGGGTTCTTTACACACACTCCAAACACAAGGGAACAGCAACACTGTCTGTCTTCTTAGTGTCCACTTAACTTTGCCTATGGCCTCTCTTCTACAGACCAATTGAATTCAGCATGCCCAACCACTACCCCCTCCAGGCTTCTCTGACCCACAGACCAAGATATCAAAAGGCAAGAGCCAAGCCCAGAAATGACTGGCTAGCCAGTGGGTCAGTCAGCAGATTTCTTTATGGTGTGCAATGGTATGGAGTTTGCTAATACCCATTCCATACACCAGAACAACTGGAGAAACCAAAAAGGCCTATTTATTACCTGACAAAATCTTAAAGTCTCTCCTCCAAGTCCAGTTGGTTTTGTTCAGTGGCAGCCCACTTTAGGAAAGCCGTGCTCCGCTATAAAGTTGTGGGTCAGAGTTTGCTAAATCTGGAGAGATCTAATGCCCTAGCCAAACCCATACTTATGCATTTCCTCAGTGCATAGCTGAGTGATACATGAAATTACATGCTTCTAAAGATGAAAAATGTAAGAGGAAATGATCTAATTGCCTCTGAAATAGGGGAAGCACTGAACTCCACTGGAGTCTCCTGTGCTAACCTACAAGACAGCCTGAGACCCTCCCTGCAGACTGTTCTGTACACTCCCTCCTAAGACAACTCCACATCTACCAGCTGCAACTGAACTGAACCGGTTATATTTAGGAGAACCTGGCTAACACAAATAAACTGTCCTTCCAGACTCCATTCCTACTCTTGCCTTCTGTTTGGTAACTTTGCCCACACGGTTCTACCTCTTCACAGGCTGCTTTAAAAAAATTCTAGTCCTGTTTTCTGAATGTTGAGTGTTCTGAGCATGCCATGGTCTTATTCCTGGAGAGTTAGTCTTCAGCTGGCCCTAAGTGTGGGGACTTACTTGTGACAACTAGACTGTATCTGAGTGTCCCCATCTTCTCTCTCCAAAGGGGACCCAAAAGGCGTCTGTTGAGAATATAAGGCCCTAAGTCAAGAAACTTTCTCATGAGGGATGGGGCTGTTCAAATCACACCCTTGGAAGTGAGTACTAGCCTAAGCTGGTGGCAGCACACTTCTAAGGTTCTGGCTATAGCTGAACGACTTCCATAGAAACGTTTCTAGCCATGACCTGAGTCAGATGTTGGAAAGCAAGAACCCAAACCTGCCCGGCCCAGGTTGGAGAGATAAAGAACAGATCAAATGCTGGCTGTATTTGAAGGATTCAATCCATGTGTCCCTGTGTCTTCTGCCCCATGGGATACCCATTCCCCAGTGCCAGTCATTCACATCGAGCTTTTCAGATACCATAGAGGGGCCTAGAAATATGGCCCAATCACTGACAGCTCCCTCCCCTAAGTTTCTGCAGAAGCTTTCAAAGACTGGAAAGATGCCCCTTTGAACACTCTCAAGAGTTGCAAGCAAACAGCCATAAGTCAATAGTAGCCATCCCTGGTGCTGCTTCATAGGGACCTTAACTCCTGGTAGGCCTATTGGCATCTCAGTCCCATGCTGGAGCCTCCATGCCCTAGCATCCCCCTTAAAGCTCCAACTGCTTTTGACAATTAACATTGAGGATGGGTGTAGGTGATTTGGAGGGATCAGAAGGGAAAAGAAATCTGAGTAAGTCAAGAGAAATTTGACTTAATGGGGAAAAAGGCCTCTTCTAAGACTTAGGCTGGGCAACCCCCACAGGCACTGACCAGCTGGGAACCTTCCTTCAGCACTCTGAATTCCACTTTCCTGAAGCAAAACTGGGGTGGGGGGAGATGTCACCAGACCCTTTCCATTTACTCCACTCTGTCCAGGACTGAGAGAGAAACCATGCTGTAAGCCAGGCCACTAGAGCCAAATTTGGGGAAAGTTGGCTTGGGAGAAGCAGGTGACCAAGCATACGGACTATTAGTCAATATTTGCCAGGTTGTTGGCAGATTAGATATATCTGTACTCAAACACTGCAATCTGATTTCTTTATCAAAACTGTACTTAAATGATAAATCCTTATTTAACGTGAGATATTTCCTGTGGGTGCAACTGCAGTACAAACGGGCTCCAAGCTCTCCAGATACAAGTGGATGTGTATATCATGTTATACCCCGCAGCTTTTACTATCCACAACTGCTCTGTCACTTGCAGATATGCAAATCATGTACACACACTGAGTTGTAAATACCTGAAATGTTCCACCTATACCTGATATAAACAGACACCCATAGCTGAGAAAGAAACTCCATTACTAGGACTGTTTACTTCCTATCTGATAAAAAAATAATGGTATCCCAAACTGCCTTCCAGCCTTAAAGCACCATTAAGTAGCATGTTGCAATTAATTAACAACCTGATATCTGTCTGGGGAGCAAATTTTAGAAAGATTTGGACCTAGGGAACAGAGCATAAAATCTGAAAAGTTTGGCTTTTTTTTTTAAAGAAGTAATCCTTGGGTTGGAGGTATCTCACAGGTCAATGGGAGAGTGCCTGCCTAGTATATGAAGAGGTCCTGGGTTCCATTCCCAGCACCAGAAAAAAAATTAACCCCCTGAAAGAACAATGCAAATCATTCGTTCACGCTAAACTTCTGAACCCCCCCATTCCAGCAGCCCTTCCCCCAAACAGGCCCATAATTTATGACTCTTTTACAAGGTAATAAACCACAGTAATCACCTCCATGAATCCCAAACTAAAAGAACAAATTAAGCCAGAACTTGAAAAGAACTTTAAAGGGTTTTCCCCCCTTGTTCCAAATAGAAAAGGAAAACACTCAAACAGAAGATCTGAGCTTTTCCTGTGGGAAGTGCTCTGTGGAAAGCATGGGGCAGACTCTGCCCCCAGCAGGGCCTACAGGCTGGGAGAAAACGCAGGTGGCAGAGACAAGTCTCCTCATCCCAGAGCTGGTACTGACTGGCCATTTCGGAACTCAGAGTTTCCAACCTCCCCAGCCACAGCCCACAATGCAGCCGCCTTGCTGCCCTGCCACCTACTTGCTTCAGCTTTGCAGCTGGGGGTGTGTTTGGGGCTTGTAGGAAAACACATACCCAGCCCCTCTGGCTCTCCCTGCTCCTGCACCCTCTACTACAGGAGCCTGCTCTTTGTCTGCCCCATGCCCACAGGGTCATCCTGCAGCCCAGCTCCAAAGTCTGCCCAAGTTAAATATTGACCAAAACGTCTTTCAACCAGCTCTAGTTGCCAGGAGTGGGGGAGGTACACTTCTCCCTGCCTCCTCACGCAAAGTCCCAAGCCTGAGGAAGAGTCTGATGCAACGCTTACCTCCAAAGATGATTAAATCTGAACCAGGAATGATCTCCAATCCCAGGTGCTCAGGGAATCCCTTTTTCCAGTGCCCAGGCACTCTGCAGACAAATAAACACCAGAGGGTGAATGGTGACTGTGGAGGGAGGGAGTGAAGACTGGAGTTAGAAATGTGTCCTGTATGAGCACCAGGGTGGCCCCAGGGTGACGCGGACACGGAGTTGTCACCAGGGCACTGGTCCATGAGAGACACTCATAGCTCCAAATATTCCAGTCTACAAATGGCCTGAAGTAGGTGATCAATTTTTTTTAAAACAAATACATACTCCATCTCTGCACCCACAATCTCCTTTTCCTTTTGTATAGCTTTTGGGGGGTTGAGAATGAATTAGAGGGGGGGGGAAAAAGAAGATGGCTTTGCTAGTGATGCAGGATTCGCTGGCAGAGCTCCGCTTGTACCCCAAGTTGGGGAATGTGACCGCAAGCTTTATTTTCTTTTGCAAACAATGGGAAGCCTTGTCTGGAAGCATTCAATCACAGACTCCGTTGAAACCTCACTAATAGCGTTCATTTCTGTTGGCGGGAAATGGGACCCCTGCTCAGTCAGTCCACAGATCAGAGGCAGTCTTGGGAGGTTTTGTTTTCTGGTTATTCAAGGGCTGGGCAAGCTATTTCTTGGTCCTGGTGGTCTGGCAGGACTAAAGCAGTGTCCAGTCCCTAAGAAAAGACCAATTACTGCTACTAGAAGCCAAGCAAGCCCAAAGTGCTGTACAATAAATACCAACCCTACCTGTGCCAGCCTCCTTATACCCATCCCCAGCCCCCATGCCCAGACTCTACTGCAACCTTATGCCTCCCTATTTCAGCACTCCCTTGCCTGCTAACCAGAAAATGGTCAAAGTGCCCCCCAGATGGCTTTCTGGAGTCAGGAAAGTGCAGAGAATAGTTCCAGCTTGTTGGTCCTCTTCTGGAACTGAGCAGGATTTTTGCTTCTCCAGCCCTGACCCTAATCCGATCACTACCCACCTGCCAGCCTGCTCCAAACCAGCCCTGTGTAGGTCTGCCCTCCACCTACGACAGCCATCGATAGCCAGAAGAGATCTACCAAGTAGCTGGGGATTGCCTGACTCCTGGCTGGGGAGCCTCCTGGAATACTAAGGGTTGGCAGCAAACTGGCAGCTGCCTTCTGCCACAAATCCACCCACAGCCTTTACCCTCCTTAAGGACCAGAATCCACTCTGGACCCCCTTGTCTTGTTCAAACTCCCATTCTACGCCTTCATGGGGAGAGACCCTGGCCTTGGGACTCCTGATGTGATCCTAAGCAGGGTGGGGAACTAGATGTTCAGTGCTTTGCCACTCAACTTCACCCCCGAGAGATCTGCTGTGCCCTATCCACCACCAAGCACAAGACTTAGGAGTATCGTAATTATTATGGTTATTACTGTTGTTGCTATCTCTTTATCCCTAAGTCTAATATTCATGGTTCCTGTTCCCCATAAATCCTTCAGACTAATGAGTCACGGAGAGACGCTGTTTAGGTCTCTTGCTCTGCAAAGGCTGCAGCCATTGTGGCCTCTCCCGCGTTTTTTTGGCGTCTACTTGCTCCCTCACTTGCCCAGCGCCAGTGATTTATGAACGCCAGGAAAAACTGAACAAAGCCGCATGCTCCTCCTGTGGTATCTCTGCAGCCTTCCCCAGCGTGAATCGGGGGCGCTACCAACTGTCTGCGCTTCTCTCCCACTTCATCCCCAAAACCAGAAAGAAAGAAAGAAAGAAAGAAAGAAAGAAAGAAAGAAAGAAAGAAAGAAAGAAAGAAAGAAAGAAAGAAAGAAAGAAAGAAAGGAGGAAAGAAAGGAAGAAAAAAAAGCCTGAGTTCGAACTCACATTTCCCTGGACACAGAGCCTCCCTGGACTCACGGCAATCTTACAAGAAAGCCTTGGACCTGGTAAGCGCCCACTGGACAGCTCCGTTCTCCACGCTGAAGGGCTCTCTTCTGCTTCCCTGAAGGAGTTAAATGCCTTTGGAGATATATCTGAAGGTGTATGTATTTAAAAATCAAATAGCAAGTTGGAGTCTCACTACTGAGAGATTCATTCCTAGTGAGGCCCTGATGACTCAGATCCATTCCTGACGATCTGCATTAATTATTTAATGAGTCACGTGACCACAAAGATCACAATTTCAATATTTCCTACTCCAACAGGCGCCACACCTTTATCAGTGGCAACCAAGGTTCACACCTGGCTTTTTTGTTCCCCAGGCTTCCAAAACACAACCATCCTAGACCTAAAAGAGAATGTCATGGAAATGCTAGGCTGAGCACTGCAGAATTAGTCCTTCTGGAGCTGCCAGCACTGTGAGCACCAGCAATCTCTCCCCTGAACACAGCTCTCAGGCCCACCTGTTTGAATGCCAAGAATGGGCAGTTTAGTTACATAATCTCCCGGGGCAGCTTTAATAATCCAACCATTCTTCTTCAAGGCTACACACACACACACACACACACACACACACACACACACACACACACACCTATAGCCCTACACATCAGCACAAGACTAGATACCCACCTCCAGTCCTCTCTATTCTTGTTTCTCCTGCAGCAGAAAGATGCCTATGCATGTATAACCTGTCCAGGGTGATGCCAAAGGTCCTACAACCTACGTTCTCATTGACATAAGGAACTTGAAGAGAGTCATTCAACTGCCTCAGTTTCCTCTTCTGTACAACTGAACCCAAATGACCCCCCAGTTCTGTTTCATCTTGAACACTTGACATCTTCAGATTAGAAATGGGGACATCTAAATTCAAGGCAGAAGTTACAGATTAGGATTCATGACACCTTCCTAGAGTGCTTCCCATTTCTCCTCCTCCTCCTTTGCTTTGCATACCTTCCTTTTTTCTTCCTTTTGTTTTTTCAAGACAGAGTTTCTCTGTGTACCCCTGACTGCCCTAGCACTAGCTCTGTAGACCAGGCTGGCCTCGAACTCAGATATCTGCCTGCCTCTGCCTCCCAAGTACTGGTATTAAAGGTGTGTGCCACCACTGCCAGGCAAACAGCATCCTCTTTAAGGTACAAAGCATATTTTTCCCCTTGATGCAGTGTATAATATGGGAAGGGGTGCCAGAAACAGCAGTTGGAGAGGTTAGGCCTGAGTTCTTCCTTGCAGGTCTGTATCTATTGATGCAGACATCAAGGAAATGATGGTGAAGGTCTAACGCTTGAACAGAACCCAGTCACAGGGATGGGGAGACCGAGGTTGTCATTTGCTATATTTATTCTTTGGGGGTGTCTCTCCTTCCACTCTAAAGGGTTGCTAATCTGTTGGAACTGCTAGAGAGAGAGCAGCAGGAGACAGTGGCACAGTCTGAGAGCTTAGGGGAGCCGTGGTGTCCAGGAGACATGGGGAGAAGGGGAAGAAGTAGGGGTACTAGGGCACTCTGGGGTTGCTGATGCAAAGACAAAGACAGTGTGAGTGAGTCTACCCCATATATCTGGGTAATCTTCCCATGAGCTCCATCCTGGGTATTAAGTACTCCACTATGCCTGTCACAGATGAATTCCTACTGTAATAAAACACCAGGTATGTCGTAGATTTCAGCAAAACTAGCAAAGAAAGCCTGCAAACTGCCATTTTTCTTCAAGGGGGAGAGTGTTAAGTACTTAATTCAAACTGTGACCATTAAAGTGTCTCCTACCCGATTTAGGTTGATTTCAGATGTTGATAAAACTTTTCTCTCTAGAGTCATGCACAGCTTGGCTCTGAGACTAATGCGAATGAGTGTGGATTGAAGGAGAGGGAAAAAGTGGGGGGAGCATTGCATGGGTTATTTTGGTAGGAGAGCTACAGAGCTTACACAAAATACTGCCTTTAAAGGTCAAGGGTTTCAAGGACTAGTAGGTTTGCTTAACACACACACACACACACACACACACACACACACACACACAATTAATGAGATAGAAAATCTGTCCTCTGAGTGAACTCCTATGTTTGACCTGACAAAGGGCAGACAATGAACGATTTTAGAGTGCACAGTGAGATTTTTTCTAAGCTGTTATGGTGAGCTCCCTTAAAGGCTGACTGAATCATAAATAGAACACCCACCATGAAGAAATGGTAGAATCATCTGCAGCATCTTCAACAATTTTGGTTTTGCAAAAGCACCAATACCTTAATCATCAATACAAAAATGATGGCTTATCCCAAAACAACAGAAAGAAGATCTTGTCTCTCACTTCCTTTTCTGAATGGACAAATCAAAGGCATCTCCTTTACCTACCCACCAAGAGCTCCAGAATGAAGCCAGTGAATGTCTCACATCCTTCCTTCCCCACTGAGGAGAAATATAAGAATTTATCTTTAGTGATGAAAGTCTGCTATTTGAGGTTTTGTGGCTTGATAATCAATTTTCACTAAGAGCCTAGGCATGATATATATATATATATGTGTGTGTGTATATATATACATATATATATATGCAAGATGCTTCTTTGCCTAAGAAAGCATTATTTGCAAGAGGATCCCTCTCTCCTCCAAAGCCTTTTCCCAGAGAATGCCTTTCAAATTGTTGTTGAATTACAAAGAAGTATTTATTGTATGAGGTGATTAATGATTCCTGGGGAAATTGCTATTTTCAGTGTGATTTCATTTTGCTTTACAAGTGCATGTAGTGGGGGGGTTAATAAGTTGTAGCAGTAGCTACATTGCCTCCAGAAATGCTTAATGCCTGTTCACACCTTATAAAATGCACTTTCTGCCAGGTTCTTCCTAACTTGGGAAGGCATGTGTATACTCCTTTCCCCAGGAATTTTCTTGGCCTCTCAGAGATTAGAGCCCATCGTTTATTTCTAAAAGCTGGCTTTCCTGTAAGGGGAGAACAGATCCCCCTGGCTTGTGCTCAGTACAGCAAGGGTGGCTGAGCTTGTCCCGCTTATGGGAATGGTTTTAAATCTCCTCTGATATTACAGAAGCAGGTGAACATCCCTTCCCTCTCATGCATTTACTGCTCTGTTTCAAGGCCAGATGGCAGTTCGAGTACTCTGTGCAGTGTGTGTGTGTGTGTGTGTGTGTGTGTGTGTGTGTGTGATGCCTGAGTACCAAATTTCAATCAGTGAGCAAATACTAGGGATACAGAGATTGAGAGGTGAATTTTCATTTTTTTCCCCACCCTTTAGATCTAGCTCTCTGGGTGTGTACAGAAACACCCCCAGAGCACTGAGGAATATGACCCTAATCAGAATTTGGCTTTCTCCCAACAGTGAACTCTCCCAAATTGACCTTGCTCAGGGTGTATTTGGGGGTGTCATTATGCTTCTTATCCCCCAGAGGATACTTTGGGGAGTGTGGTGGGAAAGTTCACTTTACTCTAAAAACTCTACCTAAAGAAGCAAACAAGAATTCCCAAGCTGTGCTCAACGAGAAGACCTTAAGATCAGCCAAAAAACCAAGAAGCAATCTCAACCCCTTGCATAAACTATTTTTCATCTCCAGGGAAACAGGCAGATTAAGTGTGAAGGTGCAACAAATGCCCAGGGGCCACGCTCTTTCCAAGTGTGCTCAGAGTTCATCCCGTGGAACAGCTGCAGAAACTCCTGGGCCTCTGCTCAGCACGGTTTCACCTTTCACTGCAGGGACAGACATGTTCCTATGCCTTACAGAGACTCGAAGCCTGAACGCCTGGCCAAGTTTGGAAAGAGGAGCCCTCTCAGGACTCAAGAGCCTTCTGCTTTTTGGAACGTTTCCACAGTGGGTCAAGCTTGACAAGAATTCAAATCAAGTTGAAGACACACACACATACACACAGACACGAATTCTGAGAGTACTCAGAATGGACCTGAGCTCACACTGTCTACACATGGTCAAATATCTCCACCAAGAGGAGTTGGGCTTGGTTGGTTTGTTTTTTGGTTTTGGTTTATGAAAATCTTGGAATACACACAAATCTACCTCCTAGGTTCTTAATGTTTTTTAAAACGTTTATTCTTAGCACATTCCTCTTTGCACAGTCATATCGCTTTGTACAGTTGCAAGTGGGTCTAAATGCATTTCCCTCTCCCCCAAGATTGTGCCCAAGAATAAGACAACAATATCTCTATAACAGTATTTTAAATAAATGCAAGGAGAGGAAACTACATGCCACACCTACCATCAAGGTCTACACATTTTGAGAATTAAATAATCTGGTGAGGTCCTCAGTGTCTACTCAGTGAAGCTCATGTGAGCTGCCTTAAAGTAGATGAGGAAGGTAAGGAAACTGGGAAAGAGCCTGCTTCTTCTGCTTGTAACAAAGATACAACTGCATGTCCCCAGTCAGCAGGTGCTGTCCAGCTGACTCAAAGCCATTCGATGACAAGGGCTTCCTCACAGGTATCCACCCCTGGCAAGGTTGTCCGGGTCAGCAGGTTGCTCCACTAGGCAGTGTCCAGGACATCTGTCCTCTTGAGAATCAAACAGACACTTCTTTTTGGTCATGGTTTCCACCAAGTTGAATTTTGTTTTGGTGTCTGTTATGGTTTTCTTGGGGAGGAGTGGGTGAGGATAGGAGCAGGAGAGAAGGGCAGGTAAGTGACAGAAACTGATTTAAGTCCCCAGATGATTATATGGAGGAGGGAATGGGTGTGGAGGCACTAGGGAGAGGGTGGGGACTGTGAGTTTGTGCTTTTCCAGGCGGGCCGGCAGGGGCCGAGGCAGGGTTGGAAGATCGCATCTTGGTGTTGGGAAGTTTGTGGTCTTTCTTCCACTTCATTCTTCGGTTCTGGAACCAGATCTTGACCTGGCGCTCAGACAAGCAGAGCGTGTGGGCGATCTCGATGCGGCGCCGCCGGGTCAGGTAGCGGTTAAAGTGGAATTCCTTCTCCAGCTCCAAGACCTGCTGCCGGGTATAGGCGGTTCGAGAGCGCTTGGGCTCGCCTCCGTTATAACTGGGGTTGACTGAACGCCAGAACCCCGAAGGAGAAGGCCAAGGAGGAGGAGGGAGTGGAAGAGAAGGAGAGGAGGAGAGAGCAGATAGAGTGAAGAAGAGCAATTGGACATCATCATTATATAATAACCTGACACCAAGTTCACGCAAGATACATAAAACGGCAAAGAAAATGTTTCACAGGCTATTGACAACGGGAAACACCCGAGAGTCATAAAGAATGGTGCTGGGCATTGGGGCTGAAGAAAAGCTTCAAAGACACATGGCCCGGAGCCTCTGCCAGGGCAATTAAATTTATGGGGGCTATAATTACTGCCCTAACAGTTTGGCGTCTCGTAAATCTTGAGATAAAGGGACCCTGGGTACAAAAGGGTTCTCACGTTGGGACCAGGATTCGGGCAGCGTGCACACACCCACAGCCAAAGCGCGGGCCAGATAGGGGGTCCCTTCCCGCGCCCTGCCCCTCGCCCCCGCGCCCCGCTGCCCACCCGGCGGCGCCACATACCGGCGCTCACGTGGATCTTCTTCATCCAGGGGTACACCACGGGCTCCTTGCCCTTCGGGCCCACCGGCCCCTGGTCCGCCAGCAGCAGCGGGCACGCGGGGGCGCTGCCCCCCGTCGCGACAGCCGGGGCGGCGGGGCCTGGAGCGCAGTGCCGAGGGGGCGCGGGGGGCTGCGGGGCCGGGCTGGGGTGCACGCCGGGGGCCGGGGACTGCTCGGGTCGCGCGGGGCTGGCGCCGCGGCAGGCGTAGGGACAGGCGGCGGCGGGTGCGGGGTACAGGCCCCCGGGGTAGCCAGCCTCGCGCGCCCGCGGCGCGTAGTAGGCGGGGGGGCTGGCGGGCAGCGTGCAGGTTCGGGGCTGGCAGGTGCGGGGTGGTCTGGGGCCGCGGGAAGCCGGAACCCCCGCCCGCGCCGCTGTCCCCACCGCCCGGGCCGCCGTGCGGCGCGAACTCCTCGAAGGGAGGGAACTTGGGCTCGATGTAGTTGGAGTTTATCAAAAACGAGCTCATGGTCATTAATTTGTGAAGTGCAAAAATACTAATTTTTCTCGCGGTGTCGTTTTTCTGAGCTCGCCGAGGCCCCTCCCCCTCCCGCCGCGCTTCCCATCCCCCCCCCATCCCCGGCGCCCGCCCCTCCCCCCAGCTGTCAAACGCTCGCCCTTCCCCCTCCCGCCGCCGCCGCCGCCGAAGTTCGAGCGCCTCTCCCCCCCTCCGCCCCCGCGCGCACCCCGCAGCCCTGCGCGCCCCGCCCCGCGTCCCACGTGCCGCGCCCCGGCCAATGGGCGGTCCGCGCGCGCGGACCCGGATCAGGAAACGCGCGGGGGCGTGATGGATGCCGCTCTCCTCCCGGGCGGGCGGGAGGAGCAAGCCGGGGCTTGGGTTCCTCGGCCCCCCCAACTTGGACTCCGGCTGAGAAGTCGGGGCCTGGTAGGCTGTGGGTCCTTCCGAGCCCTCCTCTCGCCCACGTCTGTGCTAGGCCTCTCCGCGGCTCAGCGCTGACCTCCTGTCCATCCAGGCCTCGGGTGACCCTCCGAGGGTTCGAGACCCTCCAGGACAGGGAAGGACACTGCGACCAAGAGGCAGACCCTGGCTTTCTATCCTAGCCCCGGAATAAAACGAAGGAGGCCTACAGACCCATTTTTCTCTCGCCCGTTGATTCTTTACCCACTCTGCTGCTGGGGTGCATCCCTGCTTTGCAAAGCCGGCCTGGGGAAGCACAGGGAGGGTGGGTGGAATGGGCCGCTGAACAGTCCAGTTAAAGATGTACAACGAGGGCGTTCCTTCATGGATACTTATTTTTTTTTTCTTTTTTTTTTCCAGAGGCAGAATTTGTACAGCATTTTTTTTTTCATTTACGATTTGGAACCTTCCTATATTGCAGTTGACAGAGACGCTGACAAGAGCTAAACATGTCTCCATTACTGGGCGCTATTGTGAGACCTCCACCCTAGAATGGGAATGGAGAGGCGATGCCTGCACAAAACCCGGCTTTGAATCCAGTAACTTCTCATTACAGAACAAACCCCACAAGCCTGAGACAGAATAAGACCCTTACGGGTCTGATCGCCAACTGGTCTTCTAACCGTTTTTGTTTGTTTTGTTTTTCCCCTCCTTTTGGATGCCCCTTCTTCAAGCTGTATTTGGGGCAAGGGCTATATTTACAGGACAGTCTGTAATTTCTGAATTGCTGAAAATTAACATATTAACAATATCAGTAGCTCCGGAAAGGAAAGAGAGGGGACTGTTGTCTGCCATTTGGTAATTGAAATTTGGTGGGTAAACTAATTATGTCATTATTAACAAATAAATTACATATTAATTCCACCTAATGTTGATCCTTGAAGTAAATACTGATGCTTCATTCTTTCTTCTGAATATCAGACACGCCTAGATCCCCTTTGCATGATAGTAAAACAGTGCCAACTAGCATGTCACCATCCAAAGCATAACTCACATGTTGGCATGCAAAGCAAAAATATTTGAGTTGGTGCACCTAGTTGATTTTTCAAACAGCAGGATAAACCAACAACCTTCTCACAACTGAGTCTCGAAGACAAGGAAAGTTATAAACCCAAGCCTGGAGACACTTCAAAAAGAATGTCAGTTCTATCTTCATTTATACCGCTTACTCATTTGGGCTGCTAAATGCTGGGATATATTCGTTTGATGGATAGTCATTTAATGCTTAGCCACATAAAGACTATTATATGAGACTAATCTTTAATTTAGAAAAAGAGGTTAAAAAAAGGATCATGTTAGTTTCAGATGGAATTGTCCTGAAATGGCACAAAGAGGTGTTCCACACTGAACACATGGACCCATAGAGAGCTGTCCACTGACATGAGACACCCTGGATTTTTTTAATGAAATCTGAGCCATAGGCAGAAATCAACACTGATTATAACCTTTAGATAGCCTCTTTAGACTGGAGGGAGGAAATCTAGCCTGTGATGTAGCTGCCCTCTCTAGCAAGAAAATATATACACAAATCATATATTACCTAACTTAAGTAGCACACATATATACTATATATACAAATATATATGTATAACACATCTGGCTATGTTTCAAGTTGGAGGAAAAGCATCATGAGGGAATCTTGCTTGTTCCTGGTGTCACCAAGCACACGAGTCCTAACCATGTCTGTTTAATATTATTTACAGGCAGAGACACAGAATTTGTGTTGTTTAGCCTCAGAGTAGTCTACAGAGTCTTTGCTTTTAAGTATTAAGGAGACACTGGCACTGTTTTGTATATGGTTAAGCTGCACGAGTTAACCATGCCTGTTTCCGGAGGTTCTATTACTCGAGGAAGATGGGCTCACACAGAATCCCTCAAGGCCTGTAACTTGTCTTTGCGCTTCTATCATAAACACAAACGGAGCCAGGACCACCAAGTGTTATCTCACACACCGACATTTTGACATTTTACTGCAAGATTTATGGCTGTAATAAACAGTCTCAATACCTTTCCTGAACCTTCCACAGCCTCCCTTTGCAAGCAAGCATAGCATAATCCCATTGAATCGAATAATCTTTTGAAAAACATTAAAACTAAAAAGCACCTCTTGCCTTTACACAACGTCCAAGACACCAAAGGAGAGCTCAGAAGAAACTAACTTAATTAGAAAAACAAACCAAAGTTTACCAGCAGCATCTTGCCCCGGGAAAAGATGGAATGCCCTGGAATGGAGCAGAGAGGGAACATGCTAATCTTCGCACACCAACTGGCTCTAGTCCCAATCGGGGTTGAAGCACTATCTCTTCCTTGGGAAACTGGTAAGCACATTTGTTCATTTCCATGTGCAGGGATAACAGATATCCCCCAAAAAAGCTTTCTTAAAATCCCATTAAGTGAAATAACTTTTCATCATGCCCTCGGATCCCAGATGGAGGAGAGTGGAAGGGAGTCTGAGGGAGAGGGGCAACTGGAAGGAGACAGTGTTCTCTGCTAGGTTTGAATCTGATTTAAATCGTTTTGAATATATTTGGAACAGCCTTCCCACTTGAATGCAACCCTGTCCCAAGTTTCAAAGTGACCGAACAGTGACACCGTGTGCATTTTGTTTCTTATTAATCTTGCACATTGACAGTCTTTGTTAAATCACAGGCGCGCCCTCACCAGCCGACATTTTCATATTTGTTAGACGCGCTGACCTGAAGTTCACCTCAGCCTTGGACTTTGCGCTTCTAAAAGGTCTATACAGTGTCTTTTAGAGAGCGGAGTGCTTTACCCAGGTCAGTCCTTCCCAGGAAAAACCAAGGGGAAAAGGCAAAGGAAATGAAAGCATCATGGGATGTGTTGACTGTATTTGTCCTTTGTTCTTTAGAGTGGGGGCCTCCAGGCTGTCCTCTCTCCAGCGCTTCTCTGGAGCACATTGGGGGAATGGCAAGGCTTTAACCCGCCTGGTAGTGGCACTTGAGGGCTCCCTGCCAACTACACTAGGCATTTGGTTGTAGAGAAACAACACTTGACCGGCCATTTTTACCAATTAGCTTGTTTAGTTTGTAATTCCCTGGTAGTGCTTTAAAATAAAAATACAGTCCAGATATAAGGACTGACACTCATTTTAGGATTATTGCACGAATTTTACCCAGTCTGGTATTAAAAAAAAAAAGCAAAACAAAACCTAATGGTCAAAATCCTCTAAAGAGGTGAGCATTCTCAAAACCTGTGACTTCCACAGGGTGTTTCTGTATTGATGCTAAGGTGTGTCACAAGGCTTTAACCAAAAATGAAAAAGATTCCCTGGAAGAGAAATAATCTCTAGGTGAGCCAGTGGGTGCTGGGTTCTGTTCTTTTTTTTTTTCAGGAGACCAGATGTGAAGTGCTTACTGCTATAACAGCAGTGACATTCCATTTCATCTGGCAAACCCCATTTGGCTCCAAGCTCCTGGCCAGAGTAAAACCTTTACACATCGCACAACAGAGATACTCTGGTTATTTGCTCCCATGAAGGCAACATTTGGGAAATATTTACTCTGCCACTGAATATACACCTGGCACCATTAAATCTAACTAGCCTGAATGTGTAGGGATTGCCTCAAACATACCCTGCAAGGTGGATATTCTGAGCCCTTAAATTACTCCCAAAATTAAGAAGAAAAATATTTTATCTTTCTCATTGTTGCTTTCCTAGCTTGATCATTTGAAGGTCAATATATAGAAAAGGAAAATATGTCTGCTAGATATTATATTCCAACCCAGACACTTAAAGCTAATCTAGATGTATGAAAAATAAAATATTGGTTAACACTTCATTTGCAGCTGACAAATGAGGCATGGTCCCCTGTCTGCTTTTATACACCGGTCCCCTTCTCCTCTGTCCCCACACCCTCCTCCTTTGCACGACTTCTGTTCATCTCCCACCCCTGTTCCACATCTATTTTTTTAAGAAGTGCTTTCTGGAGAGCAGAAGTCTGGTGGTTTTACGACGTGGCACTTCATGTAGGAACCCAGCTTCCTGCCTTCTATACCATCACTCAGCTACAGATTGTAGCAGTCCTTACATCCAATAGTGGTTTAATAACAAACATAACAGAGAAGTTTCCAACCACGTGAACATAATAACACTAGTGAGCATTTCTCTGCCGGTAGTGGTGGTTTTAGGAGGCCTGTCCCTTTCACTCCGGCTTCCACCTCCCTGTCCTCACAACCTCTGCATTCAGTGAGTTGCAGCTGGAGCAGGGGCAGAGTCTGTGCTTGAAAATTGTCAAGAATACTCTTTGCAAGGTCCCTGCCCTTTTCTCCCACACTTTAGAGATCATTACACGTACTGCATCATAAAAGAAGACACCCTGACTAATCAGAATCACTCCCCTTTTTCATAGAAAGGGGGCATAATGGAACATTAGAAACTTGCTACTTGTTTTTTTTTTTTTAATGTCCTCTGATGAGTTCTAAGCATCTTTATTTTGTGGCAAGTCCACAAACCATGCCTGGCTCTCCAGCATTTAAGGTTTTGGTGTTTTGGTAATCTATGCCTATTTACCTGCAGCTATTCCCTCAGAATGGGAGTGATAATTCAATATGAAATGCAGCATGTATTGCTCCCAAAAAGAGGAATTTTCTACCCTTTCCTCCGTAATTGAGGTCATCCAACCACTAGAGTTCACCTGGAGTCCACACCGTGATACACGTGTCACTCTGAGCCATTTTATCTTTTGTGCTGATAGTCAAGATCGCAGCTCTAACATTGACATCAAACTCTGTCTGGGCAGATGACTAAGAGCGCTGCACAATGTAAACTTTTGACCCTCAACTCTTTGACCTGCAGTTGTAACACACTAACCACAAAGACACACAGCCTGAGCCCCCTCTTCAGGGGGAAGGGGCCCTCCGGATCTTAGGCAGTCCTGCTCCTACCACTTTCTGTGGGAATTAGAGGATGGAGTGTGTCTATTTCTGTGTATTTGTGACCACGTTTCCTGTCAAGCCAGTATCCTGCTTCTTTTTCTTCTTCTTCTTCTGTTTTAGTAAATCAGGAATTAGGAGCTAGATTAACTTGAAATCACTGGTGACTCCACTAACCAGGACAGTTTAGGGGAGAAACGGAGAATCTGTGGAAGCAGTAGTGTAAGAAAAGAGAGGGGGGAGGGTGAGCTGGCAAGGGGGTGTGGGGCAGTTTTTGTTGTATTTAAAAATAAAGCCGCAGCCTTAATTGTTGGGAGAGCTGGCTTGGGCGGGCAGGCGGGCCGGCTGACTGTGAACTTGTGCTAAAGCGTGCTCTGCTGGCGGGTCCTAGGGTGTGCAGATTTATACGCTCTGCATTTACTTAACCCGGCAGTGAACTGCATGGGCGCCATTTGTTAGGCGATGACAGACTTCACCTCCAGCAAGAGCTGCTTCACAAAAATCTCAATAATTACCCAGTAACCTTCATAACAAATATTATTATTGAAAAGGCCAGTTTGTGAGGAAGAGATCTGATAGAAGAACAAAACTCTCCAGAAAATACTAAACAAAACAAATCTGGGCTTCCCTTCCAGTTCAGTACCCCTCCCTGTTTGTGTGAACCCCTAGGCTGAATCCCTCACTTTTGCCTTGGCACCCTGTTTATATTCTCACCATTGGCTAGAAGAACCCCCTTGCTTCAGAAGCCGATGGGTTGCAGCCTAAGACACTGCCTTCCTTATGGTGAACAAGCCATGGGTAGACCCCAGCCAGAGAAGGGGAGATGTTAGGAGCATCTTGCAAGCTGAAAGCACTGTCTTCCTCTCTAAGTCAGTCTTCTGTACTGTGGTTGTTGGAATGTAACATTCCCCAACTCTCAACAAGTGAGAACCACTGGTTCTAAATCTCTCTCTGTCTCTCTGTCTCTCTGT